TGTTAATAACCTACATTGACCATCCAACTATACTCAATAGATTGTAGTGGATCCGTGCAATGCACTACACACAATCAAAAACACACATATCAAAAATTACCACTCAACCTCATATTTCACAAAAACATAAGGGGGAGGAAAACATTGTATAAAACTATCATTTTTATTTTAAATCTTTCAATTTACACATGTTTTTATTTGTACAAGTATTTTAGTTCTAACTACAGGTTTACAATCAAAACTCATTAACCCAGGACACAAAATACATAAAATTGTGCACAAAATAATACAAGTAGTGCAAAAATAATGTCAAATGATCCTAGTTGGCAAATACCCTAGCATATACACATGAAACAACAAAAAGGAGGCATCTGAAGGATTACTCCATAATTCTAAGCCTCTGTGTGTTTTTCCCAACTCAAATCCGATAAGCTAGGCCTTTAAATATTAAAAATTGAAGGGTGAATATAACCACTTAGTTATCAAGTTTCACCTAACCTATACAGTTGCATATTAATTGTAAATAGATGCAATTAGATAGATACACAGATATCACATATAAATACTTGGCCATGGTTTATGAAACTAATAATCATATGACTGGGCCCACAACACATAATGTCATATTATTATGCAAAGCATAACACGGGGTCACAATAATAACAAACATGCGCCCCTAATACATGCCGGACCATAAAACTAAGAACTATATGGTTGGACTTACCTTACACCCTCTCGTTACTTCTGACATAAAATAGGTGGCTATCACGTGACTACGTCTTTCACAAACTAATACAGCCTTCCACTCGAGAGGAGCTATCAGGCCATGGTGAACTCACTCACTTATGTAATCCAGTTTTTCCTAAAACTAACAATCATGGAGTGTCGTACCCCTAATCTAACCTTCTCATAAACTAGTGGAGACTAGTTAGGTTCAAGTCCTTAATAAAATAAGTAAGACAATCTCGAATCAACCATAGGACAAGGGTTACCTCTTAATTTTAATTGTCGATACCAAGGCAAGTTTCAGATTCCAACGATCACTACCAATACCATGTGAATTTAAATCAATCTACTCCTCTCTCTAGGCAAACTCCCGCCAATGATCATGCCATGCACATTATCATATCATAACTCATTTCACTTTTCTCACTTACCCAATCATTACACATTGTAACACATTATTCTCCAATCATTATTATGATTCGCATATATATACACATATATATGAGTACACATAGCATTTTTCACATTATCACAATATCACCGTGGCAAATTTACATCAAGGGTTTAAAATATAAATCATGTATCAAATTAACTCATTTTCAATAAATAATCAATTAATATTCAACTATATAAAATTAGGTTTTTCCCGATTACCTCAAAACTTTAAGAGGTTAGAGGTTTAACCCTCACACAAAACACTTCCAAAGCTTTTTTCAAACTTGAATGGTGCCAAATCAAATCACACTACAATCATACATAAGGGTATCATCACAATCCTGCTCTAAAGGAATTATCAACATTAATTCCATATTTTCTTTACTTTACCAAACTCATAAACCTCTACCCATTCATACATAATGGGCTCTTTAAGTTCCATTAATACACATTATCATTAATAACTTTTTAAACTATCATTAATGGACATAAACCTCTCTCAGTTACCTCATTAATGTGGATTCTTGGATATTAAATGCTCTCATAAACCAACCACTTTCAAAATCATCAATTTGATATTCTAATACCTTAAATAACTCCTATTATATTCATTTTAATTAATGAAATTGAACCCATACTTATATGGACCAAAAATGAATCTTCCAACTTTAAGCCTATCATAAATCTTCATAAATGAGGGAGAGAAAGGAAGAATAAGGCTTAAATTACTCATCTGAGGTGTTTGGGAGCTTCAATCTATCCGTAAAGGTCTAAATGTGTGTGTCCTAGTAGAGCTTCAACGTTCTCTTCATGTTTCTCTCCTCCTCTCTTCTATTTTCTAGCTCAAAATGCGAATTGATTTATTAAAAATTTTGGCCATGCATCACAGTATACGTTGCTTTTCGCTGCAGCACATGGCACAAAGAGGCCCATTATGTTCAAATTTGCCCATGTGAATCATGGTGGATTGACCACGCATCGCGGCATGTGGCATATAGAGCAACCTTCACTTTTTCTTCCTCTTTCCTTGCTCGAGTGGCCTGCCATTAATTCAGACCCACTTCTAGAGCTAAAATTATAATAATTATATCAAATTAGGCTCCTCTAGCCATACATCTCATTAACTCACTAATCTAAATCATTAGGTTAACTAACTATGATTAATTTTCCTGAATGTTATAATTCTACTATTATATATATAGATTATAGAGCTAGCAATTACTTTCTCCCTTTAGAGTTATAAGTCATGTTCAATCAAGCTATACACACTTCAATGAGTTTGTTAACTATTTTTAAAATTATACATTCTTTTTATATCTACCTTTATTTAAGGGTTAATATAACATTTGGATCTTAGATTATAGGTTCAGGGACAATTTGAATACTAAATAATTAATCATGGGTCAATTTTGCTCCATCGTTAAATTAAAATGAACGAGTGAAATTTAAAGAAAATTGCACATTAAGCCTCATTTTTTTAAAAAAGTAATGATGTTTGTTTTAATTTAACAATGAAGGCAAAATTGCCTTAAGTTTAATTGTTTAGAGTTTAGAATATACCAAATATGAGTTTAGAATTTAAATCATTCTTAAACCTATAATTCAGGATTCAAATTATATATTAACCCCTTATTTATTAGTCTGTTTTAATTAAAAATATTGTTAATTACACTCCTTGCTTCAAAATATTTTTGAAAAATTTTATCAATTGTATTTTGAAAATGCCCAAAATACTTTATATTTTTTTAACATAATACTACTTCAGGGAAAAAAAAAGTCTTATAATATTGAAAAGAGGAACTAACATTTATCAAATCATTTATTTAAAACACAAATAAAATAATATAACTTCTCCTAGACGACGTCGTTTCATTTAAAAAGCAAGGGGCAAGTATTTATTTATTTCATCCACAAAGTAACCGAGCAAAGTGAAGCTACAGCATTTGCTCAGAAATCTCCCCTTTTTTATTTTTAATATCATTGTTAATTGTCGATGTTAATAATCATTTCGAACACCACCGAAAACAAAAACAAAAAAAAGGAAGTTAACTACACTCCTCACTTAAAAATATTTTTTAAACGAATGATTAATTGTACTTTGAAAAGGCCGAAAATACTTTATCCGAAAAAACTTTATATTTGTTCAACATAATATTACTTTAAAAAATATCTTCTAATATTAAAATGAGGGAGTAATATTTATCCGCTTGACACCATTTATTTAAAATTAAAATATAAATAAAATGACATAACTTCTCCTAGGTGATGTCGTTTCATTTAAAAAGCAAGGAACATGTATTTATTTCTTTCGTCCTTAAAGAAATAAATCAAGCAAAGCCATCTTTTTGGCCCAAAAGTCTTCTCTTCTCCCTTCTATGGGAGAATAGCAATAAAACACTTGAAAATATACAAATGGCAAGATGTGGTAATTACTTTTCAGCCCCAAGAGACTTGTTTGTCATTTTAGTTTTTTTTTTCTCCTGCAAAATGACATATTTGGCCCCTAGCTCCTTATTGACTTTGCTACGGTGGTTGTCTGTTGAATCCGATCAAATAGCTTTTTTCCTGTGCTTCCCAATCTCAATCTCCATGCATTTGCATTTCTTATATTGTATTGGTCAAAATGGTTGGCAGGGTAAATTTTGCTGAATTTGGAGTTAAGTTTCAATTCTTAAATGTTAAATGAGATGACTTGAGGTGGAAGAAGAGAATGCGATAACGGATGAAGGAGCTATCGGAGTGGTAGGACAGTGGCAACAAGTTAATATAAGGGGCAGAAAAGGAGAAGACGGAAGCTCTGGGAAGCATCATAAAGAAGCCGGCCTTCACTCTTAGGGAATCAATCCTGACCATCGACATTCCAGATAACTCCTCCATTTCCCTATTCGCTTGCCTCTTCCTCCTCCCCCTCCCCCTTTTTCTACACTCATTGTCATATATTTTACTATTTTCTTTATTTCCTTTTCTTCTCACTCAATATGTACTTTGTAGTTTTTCTCGTCACTTGGGAGTTTTTCAATTGTTTATGGGTTGTCTCCCTAACTTTAGTTGATCAAGCCAAGCGTTTCAAGTTCAAGGTTGCTTATTGCTTAACCACAGGAAAATAAAACAATGGAACTATAAAATCAACATAAAAAAAAAAGTTTAAGGAGAAAAGAAAGAATACTTGTTGATCTGTTTATTAGAGAGTCATTCAAGAGCAAAGTAATCTGATCGATTAAAAGAAGATCAAATAATCTATTATAACCACAGCAAAGTTGATGAGGAGCTTAGGGGCAAACATGTCATTTTACAAAAAACTAAAATAACAAATAAGTTTATTGGGATTAGAAATTAATAATCATATTTCTTAATACTCATAAATCATCATTTGTATATTTTAAAGATTTTTTATTCTCATCTTCCCTTAGTTTTAACTTTATTGTTAATTGTCAAAATGTTAATAATTGTTTTTTTACCTCCCAAATATAAGAAAGAAATTTTAAGAGAATCAATTAATTTAAATTAAATTTTAAAATATCAAACTTCAAAAATTTGTAAGCTCAACCTCAATTTTTTAATTTCATTATAATGAATTTGTAACTTATTTTTTAAATTTTAACATAATTAAATTTATTTTTTGATTAAAATTTAAAATGTAAATTGTAAATTTATTATAATAAAGTATTAAAATTAAAGGTTAAATTTATAAATTCATAAAGTTTAACGTTTTAAAATTTAATTTAAATTAATTAATTTTTTTAAATTTATTTGTCATTCTCCCTTAAAAAAAAGGTTAATAATTGTGAGCAAATGTTAATTGCCTCCCCCCCCCCCCCCTCCTCTTTCAAGTCGATAGCAACCGTGACTTGATATACTTGGGAGCTTCTGTGGTGAGCTTGCCGTAATTGGCACGGACTCCTCGAAACGCCGCATAACGTCTCAGGCGCCAATTCTCTTTCACTTGGTGGTGTTCTTTCCGGCGCATCTCTCTTCTTTCTTCAACCCTCCTCTCTCTCTCTTTGTCTCTCTCTCTCCCTCCCGCTGGAAAATTACTCTCGCAATCTACGTGAATTTCGTCAATTCGTAGGGTTCATCCTCTCCATCTCTCGCTCTCTCTATAGATAGGGTTTTTGATTGTGCCTTCGAACTCTCGAATCCCAATTGTATAAGCTCTTTTAGGGTTTCGCCTTCACTTTTTTCCGTACGTCCGTCACCATGGGTGAGTGGCAGTCACTTATCCAATCCATTTTTCTTGGTCTCATTTTCTCTTTCCTCCTGGCTAAGCTCATATCCATCGTCGTATCATTCAAGGACGATAATCTGACTATAACTCGCCGCAGTATTAGTAGTACCGACCATGTAAATAATCGGCGCAAAATAGAACCCGATGCCAGACCGTTTGTCCACAGGTCTGATGCCGATGAAGCCGAGCACCACGAGATTGAATCGGTCATGGCGGAGCACGGCAGCGTGAGAAATGAAAGTGTGGACGGTGATGACGACAATGACGATGATTGGGAGGGGGTGGAAAGTACAGAATTGGACGAGGCCTTCAGTGCTGCAACGGCTTTCGTGGCCGCTGCCGCTGCGGATCGCTTCTCGCAGAAGGTGTCCAGTGATGTGCAGCTCCAGCTATATGGGCTGTACAAAATTGCAACCGAAGGGCCCTGTAGCACGCCACAGCCTTCGGCACTGAAAATGACGGCTCGAGCCAAATGGTAGCACAATTATCCTTGCCTTTTTTTCCTTTGTACACACTGTTTACTTGCTCCAAGTGTTTCGTTGCCGAATGTCCAAAAGAAAAAGTGCTTTAGTAGTTTGCTTTGCGTGTTGGGGGTACGATCATACTGTATAATGGAGTCTTTTGAGCTGTTTGATGTGTTTAAAATTCTTGTGCGAATGTGACTTAGCGCCTGATGCGTAAAATTATAAATGTTAGGCTGGTTGAATTAATTACTACTACTTAAGTTATCGCAGCATTGGCAGTTATGGGCATAGGGGGCTGCCCTGAGTGTCTAATTCATACCACTGAGTCTGAAATTTGTAATCTTGATGGTTTGATCTTGCCCATAAAAGACTATGAACATATAGCTCTTGAATTTTAACTCCTGCCTCCTTTTCTATGTTGTTCGTTTCTTCTTCCAGAGCTGTGCTGTGCTGCAGTGATCTACTAGTTAATTTAGGAGCATTATGATCATGTGACGGAATACATTCTAATAAGCCATTGACCATTGTATACAGTCATCTTTCGTTGCTTTTTCTTTTTCTTGTTCTTTTTTTTTTTAGGGGCTTATTTCTCTCCTCATTGATTGATTTTTCCTGTGTCTAGGCAAGCATGGCAGAAATTGGGTGCCATGCCTCCTGAAGATGCAATGCAGAAGTATATTGATATTGTGACAGAGCTTTACCCAACCTGGTTAGATGGTGCGGCTTTGGTGAGATATAAGCTGTTTCATGCACTCTACTTGTCTTCTTTCTCAACTTGGACGAATTCATATGCCAAATCAAAGCAGTATATTTACTTGCATACTTCATCTTTTCCTTTTTTTTTCTCTTTACCTAACTCCTAATGTGTCTATGGCAGAGGAGCAAAAGTGGAGATGGTATTGGTCCAAGTTCAGGGTCTTCAGAGTCTAAGGGACCAATGGGGCCTGTATTCAGCACTTTTGTGTATGAAGAGGAAGCTGGCAGTGATTTGTAAGGTTCCTGGACTTCAAGTTGTATGAGTTTTGATGCATGTATCAAGATGGCAATGCCTCAATACTTTATTACATTGATGTGTATGGTATTTCCTGTCACTTACCTTAAAGTTCACCAACCTTGCCAGATTCTGTATCTATAAATGTATGGTGCAACTCATCTCACTGTTCTCTGCATCATCTTGTACCAGTTATTTCTGTTGATGTAGGGAATTGACCTTGTAAGTTTTTTTAAACACACTCAGCATTGGAAGATAATTAATTGTGATGAATCTTGCTCCTGTAGCCATGAACTCATGATTATGTTGACACGATCATTCTTAGGGCTTTGACTTGGTCCAATATGCCTCTTAATGCTCTCTCTCTCTCTCTCTCTCTCTCACACACACACACATTCTCGCAGATGAGTGCACGCACATATTTGGATTTGTGGTAACTGACAAACGAAGTCTTGAGCCTTTCAATTATTTTCTCCAGCAAAAATTAGTTTTGGTTATCTTCAGTTATATGCAGAAGTTAGGTACTTGAAGGTGGGAAATTGCATAACTAGAGTTCTTTCTTCTCTCAAATTTGCTTGCTTCCTTATGTACTGGGATGCACTTCAGCACTCGAGCTGAATGTCTTGTAAGAATGATGAAAATTATTTCTTCGTCGATTTATGGAGTTGGGATTGGTCATGTTACATTGACTTTAACTTCTTTGAATTAAATCAGCCTCCGTTATATTTAATTCTTTGAATTTTGTTTATAATTCTTTTTGCTTTTCTGCTTTCATATTTCATCAGTCATCCTGCATTTTTCTTAGTTTATTTTCTTGATGAGTATTTCACTGCAAGCCTACCTTTTCTTCATAGAAGCGTGGATGCAGCTCATAGATTTGGAAAGAAGAAAACATTGACAGATGTGTCTCGTTCCTTATCTTTTTCAGAAAAATTGATGCAATTCATGGATTTGCCAGAGAGGGAGACTCCACTAATCTGCTCAATTGTATTGAAGATGGTGTTTCAGTGAATCTGAAGGGTGGGTTATATGTGGTTATTGCTCTGCCAAATTTTTTTAGTAAATAATCTCACTTGTGCTATAAGTAGTTGGTACTCTTGGTTGGTAAATGGATCATGCCCCTCATAAACAGCTTGTGCTTGGGATTAAGGAGATAAATCACTAATCAAGTGAGGAAACATCAACTTGAATATTAGCAGCATTGCTTGACAAGTCTAGCATTTGCAGTATCTATCCTTGATCCTTCAGGATTGACTGATAGCTAATGTGGCATGAAAGGAATGGATTATGAGTTACTTGCTGCAGTTGAATATTTAATCTTTATTCCCTCGTGGTCTCTTTTTCGCCTATGTTCTTGGGACAGTGTGAGACCGATACTTCACTGCTGTGTTTTGGAGAATGGAGAGATGAGTTCATAGTAAGGGAAATAGATAGCTAACAACTCATACCTTCCATTAATCATTTATTATTTTCATTACTTTTTTATTTTATTTATTCATATGAAAGTGAGGTGTCCCTTACTTTGAAAGCTCTCAGTTATTTTACCAGAAGATGCTATGAGATTGCCTTCTGCATTCTGATGGGATAGTACAAATCATTTATGCTTCTTTTAATTTAACATATGAGAATGAAGTCATTTCAAGTTTCCAATGATACTGCTGTGATGTCGTTCCATGCCACTTTGGGAAGCATCTGTGATGATGTTCCTGTTTATGGTACTGCCTATCAACTTCGGTAAGTTTACTTGTTTTTCTCTCTCAACATGTGCATTTGAAATGCATACAGACAGTGAGGGTCGGACACCATTACATTGGGCTGTGGATCGTGGTCACCTTGAGGTCACAGAACTGCTTGTTTGTAGGAATGCTGATGTAAATGCCAAGGTATTTTAATATTGCTGTATGTGTTGCAACTCAATAAATACAAGTATAAAAAGTTATATCAAGTTACATTATTCATAAGTCATAAACAATTAGGCTGATCATAATCTCTGTGTAATGCACCGGAAAATGTCTTTAGTTTACCCAAATGGTGCTCTCTGTATGCTTCATGGGTTATGGAATTGTCATTAGGTTTTTGTTAAGAAATTGAGATAGAGTATAGATTTCATGAGGCATTATGCCCCACTTTGCAGAAGTTGCATAATCTGGAAGCTATCACTGGATTTTGAAGTTCCTTTTTGCGTATTGAAATTATCGACCATCACATGTCTATTCTGTGGTTTCTGTTTTGGAAGGATAATGATGGGCAAACTCCATTGCATTATGCTGTTGTCTGTGAAAGAGAAGCCATAGCGGAGTGTTTAGTGAAGCACAATGCAGACCCAGATTTGAAGGACGATGATGGCAGCTCGTCACGTGACATCTGCAAGTTAAACTGGCCTTGCATGCAACCTGTGGGGAAGTAAATGATTGTTTATTAGGTGTGTTGCTGATCCTGGCACTGGCAAATTCCTTCGGATGTATATGTCTATATAACCCTTATTTTTGCCCGCCCAAGTCCTGGCATCTTCACGTTTTTCACTGCAGGATATGCCCATGCATCCCTAGGATATGGTTTCATAATCAATTCGATTTTGATATATTCTTGTCCTTGCCAGATCCCACAATGTTTGTCCTTTTCTCCCCTCTTCCGTTATATTTGATGGAAAAATGTTCATGAAATTAGACACGCATTCTCGTGAATTGCATCAAGTCTGAAGGATGAATTGCTTTATTTATGACTTGTGAATAATGTGGTTTATTATTGATTTTATTACGTAGATTGATGATTTATTGATTGTTGTGGAAGAACTCAAATGAAAAAAAAAAAAAAAAAGGTGCAGTGACCTTTTCGCCCTCTCCTCCACTTTCTTCTACTTATTCTCCTTTTGAAGGTTATTTATTTGATATTTCATTTGAGAGGTGGCATAGCTGTTGACCGGGAGTTCATCGTGTCCATTTACTAATCATGCTATATATGTTTTCATCATTTTGTATATATTCTTTGTTTTCAAAATTCCTTTTTTTTTTTTTTGTAAAAGAACAGTTGAACTTGCGGTGATCGAGTGGATCAACTACCCTTCCAAGAGGTTTTAAGGCTTGGTTTGGATAAAAGGAAAGGAGAGAGAAAACATAACAAGAAAAAACTAGGGAAAAATTTTAAAAGTAATAAATTGTTATTAATTTTAGGAGCTACCCCCCGGCCCCCCCAATTTGTTCCCTATTTTTCTCTGTACTTACCTTCCACTCCTTTGGATTCGGACGGTACTCAAAGTTCTATCACTCCATTTTCCACTTTGAAACAAGATGACATGGAATGATGATAAATGGGAAAAACAAACGGATTTAAACGAGGGTGTTGCTACTAATTGAAGAGGAGCCAATTAGTCAAATGCGTTTGGATGCGGATAAAGGAAAAGGGGAGGGGGAAAGAAGGCAATGTTGGAAGTGACAGTGGAAGCCCTGCTGTTTCTATCAGAATAAAAAAGAAAGAACAAAGAAAATAGGAAAATGGAACGACAAGTAAAGAAAGTTTCCTTGAATCCCTGTCACGGGAATCAATAAGCTTGTGGACAAGCGAAGGAGCCGGCGGACTATCTGGCAAATTTTGCCGTTGGAAGGAAGCAAAACTCAGAAATTCAAGTAGCATTGTTTCTACAGATCATTTGGGGTTATTTTCTTGTTGCTCTCTCTGGCATTAGCCCATCTTTTGACAAGATTTGGACACGCCAACATTATTTCCCCTCGTGTTTCCCAATGCTAACAGATCGTTGCCCATTATTGATAATTTGATATTCTCTTGGATATGCGACAATTATTACTTTTGATTTTTTCCCCTAAGAGGTGAGCCATGCTTAAAATTATCAAAATATATTTCAGCTAGCATGTGTAGCTCTTGCACAAAGCAGCTCTTGTAAGTGTTTCAAAAATATAAATTTTAATATTAAGCCCCCCACACCCCCCCCAAAAAAAAAAAAACGTATGGCAGCATATGATAACAAACACGCATATCTTAATTGAAAAAAAAAATGATCTCAAGCATACAAGCTTAGGTTTCTAAAATTTTCAAGATGCGAAAGAAAATAAAATTGCCATTGCCAATGTTGATGCTTGCCTTTCCCTGATACATACATGCAATGGACTGAAAGAGTCACAGGACCGCCCATAGATGTAAGTAGTGCAAGGATCAAATATTAGATGAAGGACAAATGTAAAAATTGAAATGACTGATGACTGACTTTTACATCATCAAGCCCAGAACATTCTTTTTCTTCCCTTGAAGCTAAACAAATCAAGTAGCCACATGAAGTTAGTTCGAGGAAAGAAAGGGACAAGGTAGGTTCTCCAAACTATATATTAGTGGAGTCTCAATTATTATTATTGTTATTCAACAAGAATGCGCCTAAATTAGAGGGAAGAAAAGGGATAGAACGAATAATGTTCAGAGATTGTGCTGCTAATTAAGACTTGTGTGATATGACTGCCACCAATCTATATCTCATAAAGCAGTGGTGTGGATATGCAGCAGATCTTCCCCATTCTTTTCTTCTCTTTTTCTTCTTTTATTTATTTCCATTTTCTACGGCGGGACACCATTCCACGTGAAATTAGAATTTGAGCCTTTGACTGCAATATCATAACATAGCACTTATTGGATGGAACCATCAAATAGTATTACTATTAGGATGAGGAAATGTACAAAATGAAATCACAGTTCAAGCATCCAAAATGAACAGCATCTCCACTTTGACCATCCATATATAGTGATCAGATGCATTCATCCATGAATACGAGTCACATTATTAAATTCTGGTCATATCAACTGAAAATTCGCAGTTTTCTGCTTGTTCCATCTGACAACTGTGCATTTGCCATAAACAGCAAGTCGTATTCGTTCGCATATATGGCTTGAATTTTCCGCTAAGTGCTCTCATTAGCTTCATCCAGTGTTTCCCTGGAGAGCTTGAAGAAAAAGAAACAATCAAGGAAGTGAAGCCTCTCAAGTACAAAACTCGTAAACCAAATGCAGAAACCACATTCAATTCTCCTCTTTTGGCTCTCCCTTTGGTTTCTTCTGTAGTCCGCTCACCATGTCTGTCTCCACCCTTTGACTAAGAAAGTGACCAAAGATGAAATATAAGGGATCTAAGCACCGTAACATTAAAGTGGTGTCTGGTACCACGTAAAACTTGAAGCCAAGGAAAGGATTTTAGGAGCTTCCACTACCTAACGACTAACTTGGGTTCTTGTCATGTTAAAAGGCAATAAGATTTTGCAGTCGGCCAACTCCACTAGACGAATATCTCGCAATTCTTAAATAATCTCCCGTTCTAAGGTCCTCCTTTAGACTGAAACGTGGGCGTGTAGAAATAAATGAAGAAACTAGGAAGGTAGATAAGCACATGGGATGAATTATAATGCCTAGCTGATAGTTTACTGATGATCAGGAAAGTATAAATGTAGATTGTGTCGAAGGAAAAAGTTGCCAAGTTGAAAGTGGCTGGATTTTGAGCCATGCAGGGAAAAATATTAGTAATGTCCACCACATGCAACCAATCGCCCTGTTTATACTTTTTTGATGCAACATGCAGAATAGTGCAGTTGACTTAATGGTTTGTGGACTACTAAAGCCTACAAGTTAATGCTTTTCATCATCACTCTGTTGATATTGGGTGGGGCCACTATGACAATATATAGCATCGCCACATTTCTTGCCCTTGAGTAAGCGTAAAAGGGTCTGCACCTCCACAGCTAAGCCCGCGTATGTGCTTGTGTGTGTGTGTTATTAACAAGAGGGACCATATCAGCCATGGCTCTCAAGACCAGAAATTTTCTTACAATTCTCCTCCTAGTCTTCATTTTCATTTCCCAGCTTCAGGTGATTGAGTTCTTTATAGTTTATATAACAGTAAATAAATTTTGTGCAGACATTAGCCGAGATATGACAGATGACCTTTTCTTGCAGGCCTGGTAGAAGGTTTCAGGGAAAGCCTGCATCCTCCTCGCCACTTGCTTGACAAGGTATAATATATTCCTGCTAATCTTTTTTAAAACTGGTGTCAGATTAAAGGAGTGACATTATGAGGAATAGATCTTGCCCTTCTAACCTGCTGATACTTTGGTTTCGAATGAAGGATGGTATGACGATGAACTCGAGGAAGCTGTTGAGCCAGGGGTTTGAGCTGGATTATGATGATGCAGGACCCAACACGAGACACACAAGAAAGCCTGGCAAGGGAAATTGATGGCCTTAAGCTCCTAATCATTTAATAAATAAACTGTGTTCCTCTCGCTCTCTTCCTTCGATATGTTTTGTTCGGGTACGAGGAGACATGATGTGATTATTGATGAGTTAGTGTACCTATGCCGCTGCGTGTGCGTATGTAATGAGGCAATAAATGTAATGAGGCAATAAAACAACAAACACACACACACACACACACACTGACAGTATGTACACTAGACGCTGCTTGTGTTGTGTGCGAATATTGTTTTGCATTTTGTTTGTTATTGGGAATAAAAATGTACACCAGATGTGGGCTTTTATACATTACACTAATAAGCCCCGTTATTTATGGTTTATAAATGGAGCGACTTCTGTAAATTTTATGTTATGTGTGGGGTACAGGTTGCATGGATTGTATATAGATCTGTCATTGCTATTTTGGATTCTCGTCGTGTCGTATACCTACTAGCCACTAGGTAAAGACAGGATGAAATAGAAGCCAAGTCTGGTCGCTAAGCTTGTTGCGAGGTGTTGTCGGATTTTAATAATTTAAAATGTGGAGAACAAACAACAAGGTACAATGAGGAAAGTGCAGAACAAGTACTATTTGAGAGGAGGGGAAAAAGTCCCTGATCTGAAAATTGGAGGATAGGTCATTAATGTTAAAAGCCTGGCCTGTACGTAACGAAATGACTTGACTTACTTTGATGAGCAAATTATCTTTAAGGATGCATAATAAAAAAATTTAATATAATACCAAGAGTTAATTGATTAGGATATTCACAAAAAAAATTGAGAAAAGAAGGAAAAAAAAATTAAATAAATTTGGTGTCTTTAAGATTAAAAAAAAAAGCATAAGTCCAAACCTACAAAAAAAGAAAATTAAGAAAAAAGCAATAAAAAAATATTAAAAAAACAAAAGAAAGAAAAAAGCAATAAAAAAATATTAAAAAAACAAAAGAAGTCTCATATATGAGAATTAAAAGATAAATAATAAATATATAAAGTTTGATATATATCTAATCAGATGAATTAAATTATTTTGATGAGTAGATTATCTTTAAGTATACTTAATTAAAAAAAATTTAACAAGTTGTAAAGAAAAATGACAACTAAATAATTGTATTGTGTAGAACTTTGAAGTAATTCTTCCAATTTTTTGTCCTTGGGCCATTTTTCAAATGAAATAATTTTTTTTATAAAATATTGTCGGAACTCTTCTCATCAAAGTTATCACGGGATGGAACATTTTATATGCCACAAATTGGAATCTCATGTTTGTTTAAGAAAAGAAAAAAGAAACTGACTATTTTTAGGTCGTTGCTATTTTTTTCGGTGCAAGTAAATTGCCGAGGGGTCGTCTTATTTTTAGGGTGTCAAAACCTTGAAAAAAATGGAAATTGATTTTCATAAAAGCCATCTAGTAAATTGATTTTCTTACTGGTTTCAAATTTTACAGGAAGCTCGATATTGACTGTTTAATGCTCAAGCTGAGAAGAAAAGATCAAGCTTCTATATTCAGATCTCGACTTACTAGTCAAATTATCTACGCGCGACTATAAAGAGGCAATACAAGATGTTCTTTGCCTTCGAATCCTAGTTGACAATGGCAGGAAGAGGCATTATCTTCTAGGGCCGCGTATCAGAAGAATAGGTGGGGAAAAAAAGAGCTCTGGGGATAGAATAGTTTTCGGGAGGTTGGAATAATACAAATCTACAGCTACCTCCAAAGATTCATTATAGCAAAACATGTACTGATTACTAAACTGTTATTCTAAAAGTTCTAGTATCATGAAATATCTTGGGAGAAATCTGGCTTGAACAAAATAATCTGATAGTTGATGGCTACAGCCTAGGTGGAGAAGACTTGATTACAGAAGCGTGGGGTCAAAACAATGTCCACACATGCAAAACAATAACTGAACTTTAGCATACGAGTATAAAAATGTTGCCGCGCGTCAGTAAACCAAGAAGATTTCAAGAAGTGAGATGTACAATTAGATTTATACAGGCAAGAAGTCTAAGATTCTATGTGTCTGTTTATATACATTACTAGTAATCCGTTTCAATTCATAAAATCTGAGATGAGAACCAAATTCCAAGTGACACAATTCCAATAGTGGCTAAAGCCTGGACCACCTCGTAAATAACGTTTTGCCGCTGAAGCGGCAAGTTCTGCCAGTCTGTCCGCCTATTCCAATTACAACAGTAATTAATAAAATAAGTGCTAGAACTTAAGTACAGTGAAAAATTAAAAATTGTTCATTACTATGTACCTACGTTCTGAAGCAAAAACATCAGATGAGGTTATTTTTGAACACTTCCAAAATAAACATGACATTTCAAAAAAATTCGTGCAAGTGTACAAATCTTCATCAGAAACATGATGATAAACATAACGAATTTTGCGTAAATTTTTTTCTGAAAAAAAATCCCTATTCCAGATGATTTGGTTGACAATAACTGATTCTCCTAACTGACCTCATTAGAGTATAGCACTTCTGCAAGAGTTCCGCTAATACAATTTTTTTAAACGCTCCAAATTACATTCTAATATATTCTGCCTGAGAAATATTTTGACAATGGAAAAAAATGTAATATTCTATAAATCAAACAGATTCTGATTCAATTTATGAATTTGATATTCTACTGTCCCTGATATAGGTTTTCTAAGGTAATTAACTAAAACTTGATAATCAAGGTCATGTGTTGGTGAGAAAACCCATACCCTAAATCAGCAATTATGATGCTAATGTTATCCTGTGTGCGTCGATCCTGCAAAATATACAGTTATCTGTTATTATTAAAACTAAAACTGGTAAATTTTCAACTCAAATTTTTATAACACTTACCAGAGCTGCTTGGGCAAGAGATTCACAAGCTAGCTGAAATAAGAAAAAGCAAATGTTATTGCTGCGCCATCAGTGGCCTCATAAACGTGCATATGTGCAAGTGCAATGGTTGTTAACATTACCTGAATATTACCATGCTCTCGAAGTTGATTCCTCACAAAAAAAACTGCTTCTGAGCTGAAATGGTAGGAAGAAGGGGAAGGTGATTTCTCCTCTTAAGAAACCTTAAAAAGAAAATGACCATTTATGTAACTTAGACCTGCTCATGTAGTCCCATAAGCCATCAGATGCCAATACTATAAATTCTGCATCCGAGCCAAGATGCACTTGATAAACATCAGGGCATGCAATGACCAAGTCTCTGTTGAGCTGTACACTGGAAAACATTATTGAAAAAAAAAAAAAAAATCACTGTACCCGAATTGCATTAGGTGAAATCTTTTAATTAGTGAGTTTAAATATGATGTTACAATTCAAGCAAAAAGAAAAAGGAACAAAACTTGAGTTACTTGTCCTATATGTTTGCAGCAGAATGAGCTCGTGTCCCCTAACTAATTGATCAAAGCTGAAAACTGTAAAGATATTTTTCTCACGAACTTTCAGTTGATGAGACAATTTGAAACGATAGCCCAAGGTAGAAGCTGAATGTTTGGGCTGACAAATTTTAATTCACACCAAAGTTAGTGGCCATCCTAGTCATTTCTCAGCATTTGACGAATAAAATGCAGCTTTGAATCATTCTTATGCATGGAATCAGGATTATAAGAGCAGAGACCAGGCTTAAGAGTTTTGAACAGGTTAACAGTAGCAATTCAATTTTTGTCATCTTCATCTTCCTGCGTGTAGGATTTATCGTCTAACCAAATGTAATAGTTTTTTCTTTTTGTCACCAATACATATAGAGAGAGAGAGAGAGACAATCGTCCTACTAAAGAATGATAGATAAGACATGTATAAGATTACCAACCGAGAAGCAAATTTTTCTGACCATCTTCCTTCCTCGACCCCTTTTCTCAGCATCCTTCCACATGCAAAAGGCAGATAACCATTAGGAACACATTAAGCAATAGAACGTTATTTACCAAAAAAAAAAAAAAAATTAGCGCCTTAATAACCGAACAAATAATACAAAGTTGAAGGGGCATACTCATTCTTCTTTGTTTTGAACCTTACATCCCCAAATGCACGAGAAACAGCAATGTCTCCACAAATTCTACCATTGACAATCTACAGAAAAGACAAAAAAATTATATTACATAAATGCAGTTTCTTCAGCCACCAATTTAAAAAATGAAACAGGACACGATTACTTGCCCTTCCAAACTTCAATTTTGTTAACGTCTTAAGTTGTCAATATAATACTGAAATATTGGCCAAAACATGTGGGGGGAAAATAAAGGAACAAGGAAAACACACCCATCCACCTGCTTCTCTGATTCTTTTAATTTCTTGAAGAGAGGTTTTATTGTTCCCATATGGTCTGTGGGGACTAGTCAGCTCTTCCACTCTACCAGACCGGCTTAGAACCTGCACCAACAAGCGAACTTGGATTAAAACTATATAATCCAAAACACTTCCAGTTCCCAGGAGACTCTAAACTGCTCGGAAACTGACTGAAAAATATTTTTCTTTCCATCAAGAACTAAATTCAGATGAGGCAAGTAAGCACTACATCCACAAGGATGTTTAACACATACCGCAGATGAGTCTCCTAAATGTGAAATGAGCAGCATATCATCTCCAATGAACATTGCAGTTGCTGTAGCGCCAGATTCATCTTCATCTCCATTCATATCAAGCCTTTAAAAGTGAAACACTTTCTAAACCTTCAATGCATTAATACCAAATCTACAATCAAATAGAGATTGCTCAAGTATAAACATCTTGGCAGATTTTTGTGATGGCTTACCGTTTTAACAAACTTGTGTCAGCATTGACAAATGCCTCCTGTAATGCTGCTTTAATGGCTTCGAAATCTTTCCTATCCAATATTAATCCACCTTGTAAAGCTGCAAGACACTCCTTATGAAGTTCATCCCTGTAGTTGGAACACAAGCCAACAATTCAGAGTAAGGGCTGACTGAGGTAACTGGATTTGCAAACAAAGGTTTGATGGGAAGAATTCAACTGTAGTAAAATATTACAGAAAGCAAGACTAACCGTGGTCCCACACTGAAGATCCAAACAGTGTAAGGTTCGGGAGCATAATAAGACCAGGATATCATTTTACTCACTAATGCTCGCAAACTAGGTGACATCACATGCCACACGCGAATGGTTTCCCTCCATCATATATTTTTTATCCCTGTTATTGGCATGAATTATGCATGTCTAAAATTCTAAAATAAAGCGAGATTGGTTTAACTGCAGACTAATGGAAGTTTAATGATAGAATTCAAATGAAATTTATGTAAACGTGAGAAAAATTTAAAGCCCAGCGAAACTTTGAGGATCGATAGAGTAATTTAACTTTACTACGGCATCAAGGGGATGATATGATACAACAGGCATACAAACAGGCAGGAAGACTTTGAAATTTGTAGAAAGGTATGAAATTAAAACCTGAGGAACTGGACGGACGAAAATCCTCCATGGCCATCAAACACAGCTGCGAAAGAGAAGCCGTGGAGGCCATCAGGACGAACAATAATGTCATCTTCCATCTCTTCCCGAAGACCCTGCAAAGCAATGGATCCCCATCGGATGCCTGCCACGTCAGACAAAGACGACGGAGCATCAATGGCTATGGCGGAGCAACAGCGGCCTCTGCTCGTATTGGCGACGCTGTTTCTGCGAATACTAATATTGGAGGTGGAACAGCCATGGAGTTTGGTTAAGACTAATTTTTGGATGTGTGGGCTTGACAGTGCCATTAGAGAGGAGAAGCGTAGGCAAGAGCGAAGCTGAGATGGTGGCTGTGGAGGATAAGCGAGGTGTCGAAGGCCTCAAGCTATTTTAGTGGCCCGAATTCTCTCTGAATCTGATGAGATGGGATTCCTCACAAGCTTCAAGCGATAAGCCTGCGTACTAAATCCACGTACTTTTTTGTCCCGACACCTTTTCTATTGTACGCCAAGCTTGCCTGATGACACTCTACAAACTAAATTCGTTTTGAAAACTGTATTATTTATAAATGATTTTTAACAGTCCCCTTAAAATTAAAAAGAGATGATTAAATTATTGATGTTGACTATAAATTAAATTTCTTAATTTACTCTTATCACTTGTTGAAAATTATAAAAGTTAAAATTAAAAGAACATAATTAATGATATATTTTTTATATAAAGTTGAATAGTGAATTCTTTCTAAAAAGTTACTTTTATATATATAACGAAGAGAATCTTCAACAAGGAATGAAGCACCGGTGCAAATGATCCACTATTAAAAGTCTGAACAAGATATCAAAAAAAAAAAAATGTAATAATTAAATGGTGCATGAATAATGCTTCCTCGTTTCAGTTCGTTTATTCATTTAAGTTTTCTTATTTCAATTATGTTCTTATCTACTTTATCAAAAAAAAATTATGTTCTTATCTAGTTACCTACATTTACGTCTCTTTCTCTCCTTAAGCTACTGTAATAAAAAATAATTTAGTCTGCGTGGAATAATATTTTATAGTAATTAGTATTCTTAAGCTATCTGCAAAACCTTAAATGAAAAGAATATTTGAAGCAAGAGGGAGTAGTATAAACTCTTGATTTTAATTTTACATAATATCATGATTACATAAATATTTTATAAATAAGATGTTGTTTTAAGTTAGACAGAGGCGGGAATAGAGTGGCAAGGAGCACATGGTGATTGGTAGGAGGTGTGGAATGTAAATTGCGACAGACAAGTGTGTGACGAGCAGTGAGGGAGATGGGTCAGAGGGAGGACCCACAGAAGCTGACGTGGCAAAATATGAATCTGACTAGGGAGCTGATTCCATTCCACAGTTCAGTTGGGGTATAGCATGGAGCTCGCTCCCTCGATGTTATTGTAACTAGGCTGTGATTCCTGGCCCCATTCGCGGAGCCTGGAACCGAAATCAGGGTGCAATATATTTTTAAAAAATAAATAATTATATAAAAAACATATATGACTTATATTTTTTTGTTAGGCTTTTGGACATGGGACTATAGTATTCTTGAACACTACACAAGTAATACACATCATATCTCATTTTAACAACAGGATCCACCAAGTTTTTAAAATTGGAGAAGAGATTATAATATTAACTACGTGTTTGAGAAACATTTTACGGCCATATTGGTAGATAAGTGACGCGTGTGATCACTGGTTAAGGAGAGACTCGTGATATGATCGGAATGGATGTCATCAATTCCTAATCATGTGATCTCTTTCACGGCTCACAAATTCATGCGGCCAAGGTATGCTAACTTCGAGAGATTAGTCTCTTTTGCTCTCTCCTCGAGTCTTAGCCTTCTTTTTGTGCTAAGATAAAAAAAAGAAGAAAAAACTTCGATCGAGAGCAGTGATGGATCTAAGACCCAGGGCTAGTGGGGGCAAAACAAATTTTTGGTGTAACAAATTATATATACTTCACTGATAATGAAATTTAATTTGCCAATGTGCAGAACCAAAAAAACTATATTTTATCATACATGCAAGAGTGAATTTTGACTATTTGTTTAAATAATAATTAATGAAACCCCTCCCAATATAACAACTTGATTTGCTAAGAAAAAAACGAGTTGGATGTATGAAGATCAAAATTATTTTAAACTATGCAAATGATTTTAGTAAAAATCTATAAAAAATTTAAAATAAAATAAATGATTCCACTAAAAGTATAAGAATTAAATAATTTTAAATAAAAGTCACCATAAAAATTAATCACTCACGATGCTTCAATTATTCTAAAATCTCAGTTATCTCTGCTCACTACCCAATGTTTAAAAATTGTATGATTTCACCATCAATTTCACCCCTCCTAATATTTCAAATTCAAACTTCAAACCAATTATACTTTCTTTCCCTCTAACAAATTTTGCATCTTGACCCCTCACTTAGATCTGTATGATTGTCATTTCTCTCTTAATCTTTCTTCCATTTCCCTTGTTCTTCTCTCATTTACTAGGTTCAGAACTAACATATAAGTGGGGGCAAATAAAAACCCAATTCATACTTACATAAAACATTACAAGATTAAGGAGGGTAATTGCCTATCTTCAAATATATTTAAGATCGTCACTGATGGAAACCTACTTTATCAAGTGATAAAGAGTTTTTATTTTTTAATTTTAACCAACGATAAAGAATTTACAAGTACAAGAATATGTAGTAGTAATTTTGTAATCTTTATTGCACTTTTTTTGTTTTGTAACATGAACGTATTTTTAATTTCATAATCAACACATTCATGAGAGTTAAAGGTGCCTGTGGGGTGGGCTTCATTTACACCTGTACCACATTAAATCTTTCCATGGGTGGGTTTCATTTTCACTTTTACCATATTAAATCTTTATTAAAAAATGTACTCATATTTAGTATTCACGTCTCAACTCTCAACCATTATTATTTTTAACAAGAAAATACATACAAGTAATAAAAAAACTTAAAAATATTTATTATTTTTATTTATAATATTGAGTTTCAAAAATTAATTTAAGATTTTAATTAAAATTAAGAAAATGCATGACAAAAAATCTATTTATTACACGAGAGATGTAAGAAAAAATAAAACAACTAATATTTCAATTTTCTAAAGAGCAATTTAAAGTGTAGCTTGGCAGTAGCTCACATGTATAATGTATGACTTGACTCAACTTAAAATGAAAGGGCTAGATTATACTCTCTCAAATTTTTATTGTAAGACATTTTTAAATCAATAAGGAATAGTTAAATCATTAATTTTATTTAAAAATACAATAAACTTTCAATTTTATTTACATTTAAATGCAAAATTTTTAAATTTACATTACATCTTTCATTGCACTTAATGGGTTTAAATAAAAATAATATTAAAAACCTAATAAATATCTCATAAGGTGTCTTATATTAAGGATCAAATAATATTTTTAAAAAGCATTCTATAATAGAGACTTGAGAAAGTATAATTACTCTCTTTGGTTTTATTTACAGGACAAATTTTTTTATTTTATTTATAAGTTACCTTATTAAATTTTTATGACAAATTTTTTTATTTAACATTAATTGAATGTTAGAGAGAAAAATATATTATTAAAATATATATACTTAATAGAGGTAAAATTAAAAAATTATTAAATTTATAGTTAGGGTTAATAAATTTTAAATTTTTTTATTTTTAGTGAAATATGTTGGAAGTATTAGTAAATAGGATTAGAAAAGTAGAGAAAAATTTAGGAAGTCATGTTATACCAATCCTTAATCTAATTATTTGCCAACGTGATTCGCAGAGCAGTTAGCTTAAGCTCGGTTTAGGTTTGATATGCAAAAAGCCCTCATTGCACTTTTCTTGGCCAACTAAGCCCCCGTTGCACCTGAGTGCAAGCAATTTGCGAATGATGTGGAACCCTGAACTCACAAGCCAAATTAAATGCTGTGTTAAATTCCCATTGTACGATCAATTATTGTCTTTTAAAAATCACCGTCAATATATTAATAAGTGAATATAATTTTTATTAAAAAAAAAGCACATTATTCATCATCCATATTTAATCTCACGGGATAGAAATAGATTGCCCTTGTTGTAAATGTACGGTGTATAAGCCGAGTGGAAACGTTGTCGCATCTTGACTGCTTTTTAGCTTAGATATACTATATAATATATATGCCAGTACGAAACACTGAAGTAACCAAAGAGTCTCGAGCTGATCTCTTCCCCCACGGCTTCAAGTTTCAGAGGCTCTTTCTGTTGGGGCTTCTGCGTTCTTCTCTAGGGTTCCGACCCTTCAAGATTTCGGAACTACCTGGTGGACCCATCGGAAATACCCTAACGATAAACTGAGACTGCACATAGTAATCAATCTCCCTGGAAGCCCTAGTTTTAGACGAACAAGGATATGGATAATCAAAGCCTCTGGACCTAAAATTTCCCCGGCAATAATGCCTGGATATTTCCAACTGCATACAGGAACAGCTTGAATTTCCTTGGCCTTTAAACAATAGTTGTGAAGTTTGAAGTTTGAACTTCCAAGTTTGAGATGGAGAGGTCTAGATCTAAGAGGAACTACTACTATGACCAAGAGTACGACTCAGAGACCTTGGCTAGGACCAGACCTCGGTATAATCACCACTACGCAAGTAGTGCCCACCGCCATCGCGGTGGCGGCAGTGGTGCTCGCCCTAAGGCGCAAGACTCGTCCTTAATGGTGACCACAAGTTACCGCATTTTGTGCCACGATATCAAGGCGGGTGGAGTAATTGGCAAGTCAGGCAGCATTATAAAGTCTATTAGACAACACACCGGCGCGTGGATCAACGTGCACGAGCTGATCCCTGGCGACGAGGAGCGAATCATTGAGATTTCTGACACGCGCCGTCGAGACCCAGAAGGCCGAATGCCATCGTTCTCGCCGGCGCAGGAGGCCTTGTTGTTGATTCATGAGAGAATTCTTGAGAGCGATGCTGCGTTTGGGATTGGCGAAGAGGAGGAGGATTATGGAGGCAGAGGAAGCGGTAGCAGTAGCCGAGTCGCCACTAGACTGGTGGTGTCCAGAATGCATGTGGGTTGTTTGTTGGGCAAAGGAGGGAAGATTATTGAACAAATGAGAATCGAGACCAAGACACAGATTAGGATACTCCCTAGAGATCACAATCTACCTCGTTGTGTTTCCATGTCCGAGGAAATTGTTCAGGTGCAAGAGAGTTGGAACTTTTCATCTGATACTTTCTTAAATCATATGCATGCTGAGTGTCGAACTTTGAGTTTAAGTATTTTGTTTTTGAAAAATGCATCCTGCTGCGCTGAAATTTCAGTATGGACTCCGCCTTGATTTGGCCACTCATGGAAGTTCTTTTGCTTACGGATGGTTAACCAAGACTGTAGAACCCAAGAGACAATGGGTTATTCCCCTAATAGGATGGCCTCTTCACACTCACATTCCTATTCTGTTTTCTTCGTTTTTTGGTCGCTAAAAAATAACGGCGTCTCATAAATTAACGAGGAAAGGCAGGAGCTATTAATCGTTGGCTGATTTTAGCGACGTTATGAATGGCATTTGAAACTACTTTGTTCTTTCAGCTGGAAAGGTGGAACAATATTCAGCTTCAAAACTATGTGACCTTCTTTCTTCAGTTCCTGCCTTGATTGAATGCAGCGAACGAAAATGTGTATTTCTGGAATCTCTCTCATAAGGAAGAATCTTGCAGAGAGAATCCGTAGTTCGGTGGTTAGTTGTTAGTATAGGTAGTTTGTTCTGTTATTCTGTTATAAGAAGGCAATTTTTCTTTCTTTCTTCTCTTTTTTGGGATAAATTATCTGTTTGGGGTTCAAAGGAGCTGTAAGCCAAGTTGGCAAAGAGAGTTAACGATCAACTGAAGTCTTTCTTTCAGATTCTCTCATCGTCTATTCTTCTCTCCTCTGTACTTTCTTCTTTCTATTCTCATCGTTTATCAGATGGACTATGTGTTTGGGGTCCAGTAGGAGTTGTAAGCCAAGTTGGCAAAGAGAGTTAACGATCAACTGAAGTCTTTCTCTTAGATACTCTCATTGTCTATTCTTCTCTCTTCTATTCTTCTTTTTTCTATCAGTTCAGAGCATTATATGTCCTGGATAATTGGCTTCATTTCAGAGGTTTATATTTATTGTGTTAGCAACTACATTTGATTTTGTGTTGGATCTTGTGCCTCTATCATAATTTGGTTGAACTTGGATAGATAAAAGATGTGCTTATTACTGTTGACGTTATCTGTGTCATAGGGAGTAACCCTGCATCAGCTAGGAGACTTGCCCTTGGGTTACTTGCAGTATTTCAAGTTAACATAATAATATCCCAGAAGTTCCATCAATATAGGCTTGTTGATAAAACCAACTTTGCCATTCATATCATTCCTTCTTGATGAAATGCTCATATTCAAGCAATCTTATTTCACGCAAGAAAATGTTTTAGCTAGGTTGTGCTCTATCGGTTTTTCAGCCGTTTCTGAACTTGGAAGCATTTGGGGACATTTTGTTTCTTTTTGTTCTGATTGTGTAAGCATTGTACATGATGTCTGCATGTGGAACCTTTTCCTGGGTCATAAAAAAAGGAGGCTTTATATGCTAACTGCTTATATTATTTGTTGAATTTATGCATGCTAAATTGATAATTATGACAGAGCAATCGTTCTGTTTAAAAATGATGATGTGCATCGCTTGTGTTTTACTTGTCTCTATTGAGTCTGTTTCATCAATATAGTGAAATTAAGATGTATCTGACATAAGACTATTTGTAAAATACGATGTGATTTCCCTTCAATTTTACTCATGAAACACTCTTTAAATAGATCAATTTTATTAATGATACCATATTGCCTGTCCCTGTGCAGGTTGTAGGTGATGCAAATGCTGTAAAGAATGCTATAGTTCTTATATCATCACGCTTAAGGGAAAGCCAACACCGTGACCGCAGTCATTTTCACGGACGAGCACATTCACCAGAGCGATTTTTCCCTCCAGATGATGATTATATACCTCATGGGGCAGCTCGTAGATCCTCTATAGACGGAGCAACTTTTGGATCACGAATATCTACAGCCAATATAAGAAGTAATAGCTATCCTTCATTAGGTTATACAATGGAACCTGGGGCTCCTCCTGTAGCTGATGATGCACAGCCCCTTTATGGTGAAGACCTCATTTTCCGGATACTTTGTCCACTGGACAAAGTGGACCGTATTATAGGGGAATCAGAAGAATTTGTAGAGTTCCTTCAAACTGAAGTTGGTGTTGATGTTAAGGTAGATGATCATGTGGTTGGTTCAGATGAGCAGATAATCACCATTTCTTCAGATGAGGTGCTTTCCTTTTCTGTCTCTATATGTACGCTGTCTTAGAAATGAACGTTCTCAAGCTCACTGGTAAAAGTGAATGGGACGATACACGGCTATATTTGCCCTTGCTGCTTAAGTAGTTGTAAATGAAACCCTTGCTGATGCATTTTCATCGTATTCTTCACACAGTTATATCTATCCTGCTGTTATTAGTTTGCTACAGTGATATATCTCACATGTTACAGGTTCTAACTATTCTTTTTATTTTGTGCAAGAGTCCTGATGATGAGCTGTTCCCAGCTCAGGAAGCTTTGTTGCATATTCAAACACGCATTGTTGATCTTGAGCTAGATGGTGACAGCATCATAACCACCAGGCTTCTTGTTCCATCTAGTGACATTGAATGTTTAGATGGAAGAGATGTATCACTGTCAGAGATGAGTAGACTCACTGGTACAAATATTCAAATTCTCCCTAGAGAGCAGTTACCTCCCTGTGTTGCAAAACATGATGAGCTGGTACAGGTTTGTCATTTGACCTACTGCCTGCACTAATATTAATATCCACCTATTTGATTCCTTTAGCCATTGTATTCAAATAATGAAAATTGAACTTTATAACAATGATAAATCTTATCTCTCTAAGCAATAGACATGGTGCGTTTGCATAACATAGCTCTCCTCACTAAAGCTACTAAACAAATGATTTATTATATAGCTTCTTGTAGAAAATTGTCAGTATATGATGAAAACAGGATCCCAAACCATTGCTTCCTCAAGGTCAAAACAAAGGCCTGGCATTCAAATTCTGCTTTCTTCATTTCTTAATGACTCTTCTATTGTCCTCAACAGATTGTAGGTGAGATCAAAGCAGCTCGAGAAGCTATTCTTGAGGTGACATCAAGACTAAAAAATTATTTGTACAGGGATTTCTTTCAGAGGGACACAGCACCATCATCTGCCTCAGCACCTAATACCGAGATATCTTCTTCCAGCAACATAGCTCCAGTTCATGAGGGTTACACTGGCACTGAAACATCTTTAACCTATCAGAATGTTCAACCTGTGGCAGCTTCACTTCCCTTAAAAGTAATTATCTTGATGCATTGACAAATTTTCTTATCCCTCTTCAATGTTACCCTTCCTGGCTCATCTGATATTTGAATAGTTGGGAGATCCATAAGTCATTCATTTTCCATCCCTAAAAATAACTTTTTGGTGTATATGGCATGGAAACTTCTGTCTCAACACTCAGCAGTTTAGTTCCTTGGCAGGAAACAAAAGGCACTAGATGATTTTTTTATTTTTATTATGGAAAATATATAATTTTTTACATGAAATGAAATGCTTTTGTTTTTTGGGTGATGTTTGCTTTTTCTTTGGGTGGGTTCGAAAGCTGGGCTTTTATCTTTGCCTATTGATTCCTATTTCAGTTGTGTGGCTTAGGTTGTCAATAAAAAAAGGAATTAGCTACTCTATAAACATTAGTGGAAATCAAGTATTTGAATTTATGTGAATCTATAGCTGATTATGATGTAAGAAAATCAAATTGTAGTTTATTATTGCAATGGTTATTTAAATGCATTTTACCCTGTCTCTCAGTTGTACCCTGTAATTTAGAGGACAGCTTGCCCCAAATTGTGAACAATCATTTTTTTCTTAATGTATTTAACTCTCCTTTTGCAAAAGGAAACTGGAGGATCTAGCACTGAGACAGGAAAGCAGAAAGAAGGTGATCGCCGTGATGATGTGATGAGCAGTTTGAATAGGTAACTGAGTCCTTCACATTTCTTTAGGATGGGATGTTGGCATGTTGCATAATATAGCATCGAATCACTCCTAGGACCTTGTCCTATGTTTATTGCGATGATGCAACAACTTGTGGGTCTCACATTACTTGTATATTTTTCCATTACCCCTCTATTTTATTTATTTACATGTTTGTTTGGCTTATTCTATTATTGAAATTTGATTTTCTGTTCTGTTTTTGTGGTTAGGATTCCTGTACCGCTTGTCACTAGAAGTACACTTGAAGTGGTCATACCCGAGTACGCAGTTCCAAAGCTTACAGCAAAGTCCAAAAACAAGCTTGCTCAGATAAGTGAGGTGTGTATGACTGAATCTCAGTTCCTAATTTCAATAATTGGTAACTGCTACGACCTGTTCCCATTCCGCACAGTTGATGCATTGAGTGTCGTGACTCCTGCTTAGTTTTATACTATTTCCTCACCTCTAACATCAGCAAGGCTTTTTTAAAAAAAAAAAAAAACTCTTGCGAACATTTTAGTACCTCTTAGATTAGAAATGAGAACTTGCCACTAAAATAAATTAATTTTTTTTAATCTTTTTTCTTTAAAAAAAAACTTTTTTTTCAATTGCAATCCACTTTCAAAGTGTATCTACGATTATACCCAAAGTAATGTTGCTTCTTTTTTGGCTTTTACGAGTGAAAACCAAATCATCAATGAATTTTGCAGCAACTTTTGCTTGCTTGAATATTTATTCTGGAAACTATATGTACGTATTGACTTGTTTTTTAATGGGAGCAGTTGTCAGGAGCCACTGTAACACTTGTAGAGGATAGGCCGGAGGAGACACAGAAGATTATTCGGATATCTGGTACTCCAGAGCAGGCAGAGAGAGCTCAGAGCTTACTCCAAGGATTTATTCTGAGCAGTGAGTATGCTTCTTGGTTTTGAAACACCCTTGCATTGAATTTAAATTTGCTGAACACCGTCTGTTTCGATATGTCTTGCAGCACAAGAAGATGCCCCCTAATTGATGGACATAGCTGAAGCTGATTAGATGAAAAGGATAGAATAGTGCTATTGATTTAGTGTCTAGGGCATTTTGTTCCATGCGCTCGATTGGGTTTCAGTAACCGTGCAAGATTGCTGTCATTCTCCTGGAGAAGGGCCTCACTGTAAAATGTAGCTCCAGAAGAGCTTCTTTACATTGCTGTAGTGTTGATATTTTCGGCATGAATATGCAAGTGCAGAAGAGCATTTATTGGTTACACTGCCTGGATGGTCTTTTCCCTTCTTGATAAAAATCAAATCGAGTTTGAGCTACGAATTTTCCTGACTTTCTTGAGAAGCTCTGCAAAATGCCCAGTTTTACGCGGTTAGAGTAAAATCGCATTCATTTTCAAGTCACGCTACGCCAGAAGATTTTCCTTGGTCATGGAAAACGGTGAGTTTAAAAACCGCTTTCACTTTTCTTTTACCGTCTAGTTCTTGTTGCTGTTGACCTTCAAGGGATGTTAGGTTGAAGAGAATTTTATAAAGTTACGGTTGTTTCGTACCATGTTTGATGTGCTTATATCTTAGCGTCGATGCAGATTCTGTGGCTGTAGGCTGGGCAGGGCAAGTAGTTTGACCGAAATTTCCGTATATTTTACAAAGTACCGTATTAAAAATTTAATGCTTCTGAGGATGGCACAAGTGATGCTGTAAACGGTATATTTTAATTTTTTTCACAATAGAGCAACGTTGTCTCTGAGTCCTCTAGGGTCGCGAGATCCTTCTCTGCCTTGGCAAACGAAGTAAACGAAATCAAGCCCTGGGGGTAGTGGAAGCTTCAATATTCATTTTCAATGCGTTTTGACTATTGAATTAATCCCTCCCCCTCCAACTATCGCTCGTTGCCCATCACTTTGAGCCTATTTGAGTAGTTCTTGAAAGTATATCAAATTTAATAAATAGTTGAATTTTTCAATTGAATTCTAGTCATGTCTAAACTGAAAACTAAAACATACATTTCGTTTTCCTTGCCATGCTGCGTTCTCAAGTTCTCTCTTGCTTGACTTTTCCACAGCCTCCGACTCAAACGACGACTGGAGTCTGGACTCTGGAGAGTCCCCTTTTTTTTAACCCCTGATGCCCCCGCCTGCCATGTGGGAAATCAGAATGCTGGCAGAGCTACGAAGGTACCAGACCCCACCTGGAGGTGTCACGTGTTTTTTCTGCTACACGTGTAATATATTTTTAATTTTAAACCACTTTTTTTTGCGGCAATTCAACTTCAGCATGAGTTTTAATTTGGCCCGGTTAATTTATTCAGTTGGTTCGTATGATTAAAAAAAAATCAGAAGCGTAAGTCAGGGGGGGATACATGGCTAAATAATATCAATATAATATCTAACGGTGATGGAATCTGATACACGATCACAAGGAACAGTTGAATTGTCAGGGGGCCAACATTGACCACTCGATTTGGATAATGCTGGTAGCTTGTGATGTTTGTATATCTGTTGTTTTCCTGTGGAACGAATTTTCTTTTCTCCCAACGATTCACTTGCTGCCTGGATCTTTGCATTCTTATCTCCTGGCTCTCGCCGCCCTCCTCTTCAGATCTTGCCTCCTCAGATAAAAGGAAAAGCCATCATTTGTTCACTGCCTTATTTTATTGGAATTGAGAGGTTGCTTGACGTAACTGTCACTTTCCTCTATTCATTACCCTTGAAGCCAATGAGGAAAGGTTCATGATTTCGAAAGTAACAATTTTATCCAAACTTCTCATTTTCACGCATCTCCCGCTATTTGTAAAGTATTAAAATTTCGAGAACATTTTTTTTTTAAAAAATAGCTCTTCAGGTAAATGGGCATTTTCTTTTTTCTTATTATTATTAAAAAGCAGCAACGCCTTGTCTGGACTCTGGATCATTGGATGGCACCGCCTCTATTTCTGTCTTCTTCCCCATAGAGCCGACCATCCTATGGAGAAAGTATTATGTAGTGTCCGAGTGTGATGTAGCATTATTTATTATTTATTTCTTAATTATTTTTAATTTTTAATAAAAATAGTACAAAATCTAGATATAAATATAAATTTTATTTCATTGCCGAGAGGACGAATTACCATCTTAAATAATTTTTCTTGGCCTGCGTGGCACCAACTTCTTTCAATCCGCCACGTGTTGGCATTCAAGTTCTCCCTCCTCCTCCATAAACGCGCGTCATGCACGTTGTAAAATCTCTCCGCTCTTCTTCACCTTTCCCCGTGCTTGAAATACGATACGGAGCGATCAAAAGGCAATCCACTTCGTCTCTGTTGCTCACGTTTACACTCACCCGCCGATAAACGATGCCATATTGTTACGCCGGAACGCGGCTAGCCACCGCTGACAATGGGATCAATTTATACTACAGAACATACGGTCACGGACCCACCAAAGTCCTCCTTATCATAGGTCTTTTCATCAACTCCTTTCTTTTTCTACCCTCATTTGGAGATGCAATTGTCCTTGTTCTCGTTCGATTCCATCGTATGTCAATTGTCCTTGTTCAATTTTTCCTGCGTTGCTCAACCTATGGAGATGCTATTCTTGGTCAGGATTGGCCGGGACACATGAATCCTGGAGACCGCAAATCGAGGGACTGACGGGAACCTTCACGTCAAACAACGATGAAACCGACTCTATCGGTTGGAGTTCGCCGGAAGAACGATGCGGATGCAGTTATCAGAGTAGCTATCATGGTATCCAGGTCTGTGCATTTGATAACCGCGGTATGGGTCGTAGTTCCGTACCTGCCAAAAAGTCCGACTATACGTGAGTTTCAGCTTCCAAGTTCGAGCAAATTTCCATTTTCATCTCATGCAACTCAAGTTCATGCGATTAAAATTATGTTTGATGGGCCGTGGTTACTTAAGTAATTCTCGTTTTGCGTTTCTACTCAGGAATCCAAGCACTGGTTCAGTCGATCTGTGTCATTATGTTTATATGCTCTAGTTATAATTAATTTAGTTGGATTTCGTCGTCCTTGTCTGTGCATCAATTCGTGTAAGTGCAGCAATGGTTGATAGTCTTCAGAGTTCACTCTCCGATACAGAGAAAAGGACAACAAACTTGTAATCAAATCAATCACATCTCTTTATACTCGCAACTCCTCATACTATACTAAAAGAAGTGATTTTTCAACAAAACAACAAATTAACAGATTACTGATAGTTCGTTCTATTCGGTTTCACTTAATCCTTCGTAAAAATTTGGCTTTTCTTTTCGAGTCTTTCCCCCCATCGAATGAGAAAGAAATGCCAACAATCTTTTCTGTTTGCAGCTGTCTAAACCCCAGGGTGGGGACTGGGGGAGAAAGGCTGAAAGGTGGGGAGGAGGGGTTTGAGTTGATAATATTTTTGTATCACAGATAATTATTTATAGGGAGAAACCACCGCCAACGGAGTGCTTTTGGCAGACATATTTGGGCTCAGTTGTTGTGGAATACCACGTACTTTTCTTGATTTTGTTTTCCATTTTCTTTTTTTTTCCTAGTGATTTTTTTCATGAAATTTCTGCTGCAGAAGGATATCAATTTTAACTTAAATTTGGTGATTGTTACTGCAGAAGCAAGATAATGGCGAAGGATGCAATAGCTTTATTAGATCATTTAGGGTGGAGAAAAGCTCATATTTTTGGGCATTCGATGGGTGAGACATCCATTATCTGTAATTTAATCTAGAGTAGGTTTCAACAGTAATCTGCGTTTTAAATTGTACACGGTTAAAAAGTTAAGATGACCATGACTCAACTCGGATCTCTATTCTTGGTGTCCTCCAAGCTTAGTTGAAGTAATTCTCAAGTCTCAACCCTCTTCAGATGCCGTGCTGAAATTGGGTTGAGGTAGATATATGTATGTATGTTGTCTACTACTTAACAGAATTGGTTGTCATTTGAACTTTCACAAAGGGGGAAAACAGTAACTGTTTGTAACTTGAAGCTGGATTAGCATTTGGTTTTTATTAGTCTCTCAATATTAAAACAGGAGCTATGATAGCATGTAAACTAGCAGCATTGGTGCCTGATAGAGTTCTCTCGTTGGCTTTGCTGAATGTGACGGGCGGGGGTATGGAATGCTTTCCAAAGGTATATCTCTTTAAGCGCTCCTTTGAAACTGACCACTATACCTTGATCTTTTTTTTTTTTTGGAAGAATATTGATGATGTTTCTGTAATACGATCACAATTCTCCAATTGTTCCACTATACAAGAAACGTTGTTGTAGTTCTGTAATATTATGAAGTCACATCGTACTTGTACTTCTAATCATCAACTCAGTTCAGCATACATTTTCCTTATCCTGATCCTACTGTTATTAATCAAACTCTATTTGGACTGTCTTTGTAAAAAGGGAATTCTGCAGCTTTTGTATATTGTTCTTGTAGATCATATGTCGGTACGTGGTTTGGTAACAAGTGTGGTTAAAGGAAGTAATTTGTTGATTAACATTGATTCCTAGGTGCTACTAAGCGTAAGAAATTCCTATGGAGATTAAGTGCTTAAGAAGTAATAAAACAAAAGAGGAAGCTCATTTACGTTCAGTCACATCCACACCAGTGCATTCAATTGTTATAACAAAATAGGTAATTCTTTTGTTTAGTAAAAGTTATAACATGCCGATTCTATGTCAATTATTCTATCTTTATGCAGTTTGACCGACAAACACTCTCCATAGCTTACCGTTTCTTGAAAGCCAAGACTCCTGAGGAAAGGGCTGACGTTGACTTGGAAACCCACTACACAAAGGTAAAACATTATAGGTTTTGCTGATCATTTTCTAAATTCCTAATGACAAGATTTCTCCCTAGTTATAGTCACCGAAGCTGTAGTTATGTCTTGTAAACTGTAAAGAGATTCTGAATCTGCTGATGTCATTCAGCTCATTGTCTTGTTCTCTCCACCTTCACAGACTTGAGATAAATTGATGTTCATCTCACTAAGATGAATCATAAGTGAAATTTTTATATGTGATATGCAGGAATATCTTGAGGAAAATGTTGGAACCAGTAAGAGGAGAACAGTCTTATTTCAGGTAAGGTATATTAAATTAATCCATTTTAAATAATTAGCATAAAATTTTTCAAGCAGGTGCTTATTTTGCTTTAGGATTCTTACTTTCTTGCTGCGAGCCTTTTCTGCTTCAGTTAATAGCAATGCACCACAAATTTTAATGGAAGACAGAATTTATATAGCTAGTTGTAGTTAATGCATTATAATTAAATGGTGCAGATTCATACACCATCATGACTTAATATGACACAAACGCTTGTGCATATGCTATAGGAATCGCAGTTCTACCTTTAAGCACATTAATAGTTTGATGGATTATCCGAGTGGTTCAACAATTAACAGCAGACCTCTGTTGTTTATGAAACAGAATGATATGCATCAACTACAAGAACCACATTTCCATCTTTTAACAATTTCATTGTTTAATACGATTCTATGTGAAAGTTTAATGTAACAATTAACAGTGGAACTTTGATGTCCTGTGATTAGGTTATCATCATCAAGGGATTAATCAGTTCTATCCTTGATTACTATTCAGAATTTTTACCTTGAATTATTTATGATTCAAATAAACGCTTCTTTCAGCAATATGTGAAAGGTATATCTGCAACAGGGATGCAATCTAATTTTGGTTTTGAGGGCCAAGTCTATGCATGTTGGACACATAAAATTACTCAAACAGAGGTTGAGTTGATCAAATCTGCTGGTTTTCCTATTGCAGTCATTCATGGCAGGTGTGTAGTCTTATTTTAAAGTTAGGGATGGGGTGCTCCTTAATATGATTCAGATTATTAGACACACGCACACGCGATAGTTAATCCTGCCAATCTGCCATTTGTGGGTGGACTGAATGTATATCACTGTTCCTTCTTGTTGATAGTAAAAGGCCTTAAAATTAGCTTGCTTAACACGGCAAGATCTGAGATCAGTTCTAGTTGTGCTTAATCGCTTCAAAAATTATAGACGGCCTCTGCCAGCAGTGTGCAATGCGTGCACCATGGAAAGCGACTTTTGCTTGAAACTTGAAAGACACCCACACCAAAATTTACTTTGTAGTTTTTACTTGAAATTGACTGGAAGTTTCCTGTACGTCCAGGCATGATATAATAGCCCAGATATATTACGCTAGAAGACTTGCAGAGAGGCTGCAACCAATGGCTAGAATGGTAGATCTTCACGGAGCTCATTTGGTGAGCCATGAGAGGAGTGAAGAGGTATAATTTTCTTGTAAATCATGTGGAAGGAATTGAGTTATTGCATAGACAGTGAAACTGGCATTTTGGATCTTAACATTCGCGTTAGACTTAATATTGGCACTATTTACATGACATTGGAGATTAAAAAAAAATGGAAATTGCAAACTACAGGTCAATCAGGCTCTCCTAGACTTGATCGAGGCATCAGAATTGAAGATGAACCCACATGATTGGTGTAATTTGCCAAAGAAAAACTCCTGTGAGTAATCTGCGTTTTTTTTTACCCTAAAATTAAAAAAAAAAATACCGACCTTTGCATTTCAGCATGGTCAATCCACTAATTTACTTATGGTTTCTCAACAGCTCCTTGCCTCCTCCTCCTCCTCCTTTTTAATGTGATAAAATATACACTGATATTTTGCAGGGGCAGAGAAGAAGGTGTTAGCTTTTAAAACCGACATTCAAGTTGGAAGCAATGTCTCATTTATCAGTCGCTTACCGGAAAAACTGTATCTCTGCCTATTTTACCTCTTTGATCTCCTTGTCTTGCCAATTGAAAGTGGAAGAAAGCTTCTGGGAAGCTTAAAACCAGTTCGAGTTAGAAGTTCCCCCTCCGATGTTTACCAATGATCCTATGTTTCAGTGGGCAGGTACTTCTTTTTTTCCCCAAAGTACGGTACTCATTAGTCACATTAATTTTCTATCTTTTTTAAAAAAAAAAAAATTCGGCAGAATGAGGACGCTTATTATTATTATTATTATTTTAATCCGCAGAATGGGGAAGCTTTTTAGTTTTTACAAAAAGGTAGGTGATGGATGAGTATGACAGATAAATTTAGATGTGGTCAAAAAGATGTGGCTGGGCCTGCAGAGTCATTTATTCAATGGAGAAATCCAAGTTTCTGGCTTAATTTTATTCAGGTCCTCGGACTCGGAGTTGCTCCACTCTTGCACAAGAGGATGATTCCCCAGCCATTGATTGCGCGCAGACCTACATAATCCTACATATATATATATATATATATATATATTCACTTTCGTTTTTGTCCTCTTCATCAGTCATATCTAAGAACAGATTGCAGCACAGCTCTTGGAATAATATGATGCCGTATATCAGAAATTCAGAATGCATTTAGTTTTGTAATGTTAAATTAGGCCATACATTTGAAAAATATCAGGATGGGCAATTCTTGCGAGTAGGGGCATTGTATGAGCATGAATGAATAACACATCCAATGACACGTCCAGCAAAAGATAAAGCCATCACTTCAAATCCATCTTATGAACTCTGAAAGTATGGTTCAGGTCTTACAAAAAAAAAAAAATTCTGAAAGTATGGACAGAGCAAGAAGCTACCAACGCTAAGAACATGTATGTTAGATTTTAGATAGCCTACACCTTATTGGCAATAAATAAACGCAGCTGGAAAGAAGAAAAATGATAAGGATGAAATGTAACGGTAAGAAATAGTAACATGTCATCCACAAGTCTCTGAAGAAAAGTAAAAACGATTGACCCACGGCGTAATTTCCTTGATTAATCATGGAAAACGTTCGTCGGTGCCCAAAAAAAAAAAATAAAATGAAATTAGAGAACCTGTCGAGGACAACGATTTCTGGGACCAGATCGCAGTAACCTTTGCTTGAAGAGTTTCAAAAGCTAGGTTTGCCTGCTGCGATGAGAGAGTAAAGAGCATTGAACGCGCTTATTTGTTATGCCAACGAATAATATATCTCTATGAAGAAGTCCGCATCACTCTTCAAACACCAAATATTCCGCTGGAATATACTGAGATTCATATATCTCGTTCCTCGCATCCGGATCCTCTGCAAAGGTGGGAAGGCTGTTCATCTCTCAATTTGGACCGTTCAATTGATCTGGTGCTCTATATTTTGCCACGTCATTTATTTCCTTTGCTCCATTTAACAGATTTTCCTTCATTATCATTGCTTTCCACGTGTCCATCCTTTGAATCAGGCTGAACACATGCACGTTAGAACATTTCCCGATGGAGCTAATATACAGACTAGCATTTTGATTTTACCATTTGCCTGATTCAGTTGCGTGACTGCGCTGCCAGCAAATTTCTGCAAATTGGCATTTGATTTTAGGATTAATGGCCATTTGTCTCTGAACTATTTCAAAAGGAACACTGGTACCCTAAACTCTTTATTGAAATAATATCACCTTTCAAGTGTCAAAATTTATCACAATGTCACCCCAGAAGATGTTAACCTTTTGGTTAAAGATAATTTTTCCTTCTGAAGTATTTATAGAGTAATTAGCACCTTAAAGCGGAGTAATTTCATGGAATACTCAAAAATTCTACAATTAGATTAATTCAAAGGCTGTTATCAATTTGGGACCGAGTTGATCTGGTTTGTTATGGAAGCCAAACTTGCTTGATAATATTGAAGAGTATAATCTATTTTTACTCATACAACTGATGAAAGTCAAAATATCATGACAAACTGAGCCGGGATCATTAGTTAAAAATAACGGGAAATGAGGACGGGGGGAAAATAACGTATAAAATGATCAAGATAAAGACATGGAACCCATAAAACCACAGCAAAAACAAAAATGTCAAGAAATATTCAGTTATCTCCAAATTTATACAGAAGGCATCATTCCTCTTGCATTCTATTAGGTTGTACAATTATCAGTACTCATCCAAGTATGTGTATAGCATCTCATCCTTCTTTGACTTGCGTTTGCTAAGCAAGGCCTTGAGGAAACGTTTGCCTTTACTGGGATTCTGTTCTACGTCTCCGCCTCTGCCCCTATCTGTGTCTCTTTCAGCAGATAATCGCATTGAAGCTGATTTGCGAGGGTCGGAAGGGTACTAATACAAACATGAAAAGAAAGGCATCAAACTAAGTATATCAATGATTGCGCCACATAATTGAAGTAAACACCCCCCCCCCGGGGGGGCTGCTACTCACCCATCTTCTTTCAATGGAAGGAGTTGGTGTGGTTGGTCTGCTTTTGTTTGGAGTAGTTGGCCTACTGGACTTCGGTGTTGTGGGCCTACTCGACAGAGATCCACTACGGAATAGCGGAAATCTGTGAGGTGAAACTGTCCTCTTCTCTGCAATGCAAGCGAAGATTGATCCAATAGCTCCATATGCGAAAATTAACTAACAAACGCGAAAGGAAGGAGGTAACAATAACAGCCACATGCACGATAAAATATCATATCATAGACGAGTATAAATAACCTGAGTCTCTTTTTGGAAAGGTGGAAGTAGTTGAAAAATATCCGGGTCTCTGAGTCTGTAAAGAAGGTGAAGGGGAACGCCCTTTCCTGCTTTAAAAAAAAAAAAACAAAAAAAAATTATACCATGATTGTCATTATGCAATTCAGTAAACTGGATTTCCATTATCCAACAAATCCCTTGAAGTAATGTATAGAATGTGTGAATAGTGATTACCTCGGTGCGGATGTTGGGACTTCTCTGATTGTAGCTCGTACAGCTTCACAACACAAATCAAAATAAAAGATAAGTTCAAACTAAAGGTCATCCCCTAGAGAACTGAAAGAAAGTCATGGAGGAATATAGATACCACTCTTGAAGTGATGCCAATCTTCATCATCTACAGCTAGGCTGCATCCAACATATTTTGATTTTGGGCGGCTAGGACCATGCATCGTCTCCCCAACTGAAAATTGGAATTTAAAGAATATAATCATTTAGCATTGCAGGAAATGACTTCTAATATATAACGAAGTAAAATGAAGACAAAAACAAACCAGACAAAACCGCCCCCCGCAAGAATTTCAAGAGATAATAGGAGAATATGAGATGTTCTTGCCTGGCAAGATATAACGCTTGTGATATTTTGGGGTACTGATCACTAGTGACTGTTGGACACGCCCCTGATGATCCATATACTCTTGGCATGTCCTCATTCTCTGACATACCACATTAAGGCAAAACAATGTTAGCGGCCCATACAAAATTTCTCTTCAAAAAAAAAAAAAAAGGAAAAGAGGGACAGCCTTCAAAGCCACAACTGTGGATGCAAAACTGACAGTCTCTATTCAGCTTTAAACAGTAAAACATGTGCCAGGACCAACTGAAGCAAGCTTTTGACAAGAGAAATTGATGAAGACCAAGATAGAACGAAATGAGTATGTTGATTCATCAACTTCAATAGCTAGGTTTTGGGAGGTAGTTTCCCAACCCACAAGTGTCCCTCAATTAGTATCAAAATTGGCGGTTGGCAACTCCAAAAAGGGTCACCAAAAAAGAATTTTGACCAATGAGAAAATCGAGTTAAGTGCTGCAAAGTATAGCTGCCAAAACGTAGGCTCTCCAAGGGCAGTCAATTGACGTAAACATAGTATGGGATGCCTAACCCTACACTCAGTAGCATGAACAACTCTATGGGTGCTTAAGTGAATTGATTCTCCCACTTCAATAGCTATTTTTTGTGAGAGCCCTTCATCCCACTTAGGTGTTCCTCAAAAACACTCAATTTCAGGGCAAACGTGCATTCATTTTGGCCATCTATTTGTATTAGCCACCACACTTTTAACTCACTTTGACACTAACACTGATATTTTACTTCACTGTCATTATTCTTTGACCACAATTATCAAAAAGGGCATCAGCAAACCTACCATGGTCCACGTAGTTTATTCACATTACTTTCTAAAGGTTGTATCTTTTCTAACATAACTGCTGAAACACAAATCCTCCCAAAGTCTCCATCATGAAGCAATCTTTAGATTTTTATGAATAATACTTGAATATTAATACATGGGTCTACCGTACATCCCATACCATCAATTAGTCAACAAAGAAAGAGCCAGCAATGAAATGTTTTCCTACTTCATGTTGAAGATCCAACTGATGGATGATGATAGTAAATGAAACATTCATCTACCAATTGCTTTCAAATATTCATTTAACGAATTTTACTTTTATTGAGCTGAATGTAAAAAAAAAAAAAATGAAGTAAACCTGTTCAATACAAGATACACGTAGCTCTGTTCCAGAAACTTCAACAACCTTCTCATCCAACAAATCATTCACCTTATAGGTTACAGAACCTAAATGGTCCACTGTATTTACAAGAGCTTTGACGGTATAGTCCTTCAATGTTTCGGCCACTCTGATATCAAGAGATACAACCAAAAACTATATGTAAGGGCGGATATAAATGGTGCATTAATACCAGCATAGATACATACCAGCTCCATCAAGTAACTCACATCTGGTTTTGGTCATCATTGGTGTATGAGAGTTCAAAATACTCAGCCGCTGAGTATAATTGAGTTCTGAGATTTTTCAAATCCTGGAAACATATATGAAAGAACCAAGAGAATCAACAAAGGCTCCTTTTAAATAGAGCACTTAGTTAAGGATTTTGCTGTGAAGAAAACAAGAAGGAAAATAACATCAATAAGTCATGAATAGTGCATCTTATTCAAGCTTACATAGGAACCCACTCTAGTTTTCCATAAAAAATAAACTAAGTGCATTAGACAGTGAAGCTGGTAAAGGGTAGAGAATACCTTCAGACTATCATCAAAGAGCAAGCTCTGCTGCATGAAGACCTCATCATAATTGGAAGCCTCGCAAGATAAAGGCTCGGATGAAGAAGTTGCAACCTTACCCATAAATGTAATATTGGAAGTAGATCCACCTTATTCATCAATCATGAAGATAAGTTTAAATTTTGAGTAGGGAGGATAAGTTTGTGGAAAAGAAAAGTTGGCATCTACAACTGAAGAAACGCCAATGAAAGAAAGACATAAAAGAAAGAGACAGCCTCTTCTCTAACAACTAATAAGATACCAAAAGCTCATATTATTAAAATCGGCCGCAGAAAGCATCATAGCGACCTGCGACACTTCATAAACTATACCAGAAACGAAAGTAACTAAGCAATGGAGTCTCTTGACGCAGCAACTGCGGAAGAAAAAAGTTCATTTTTGTCCGAATCTTCGCCAACACGCACATCATAATAAACTCGCGACAGATAAACCAGACTGCGACTCAAACCTCAGAGCATAAAAAATATGTAAAATTTCAACAATATTATATTTAAAGCGATGAGGAGATCGGGTGAATAGTTGCTGTGTCTCTAGAAACTAAAGAATCAAGAACTCACCTGTCAATTAAGACAACTTGCAACAGCAGACCTAATTAGCTAAGGTGCTCAATTGATTTGCTTTTTGTTATAAGCTTCTCAAAACCAATGCCAAGTGACGAAGTTGTTTGAAGGGATCAGATAGAAACTGAGGCTTCAAAGGAAAATGCGGAAAGTCACCTGGTACAACGTTTGCTAGGCTTTGCCGTCTTCTTCTATGACTCGTGCTCAGCAGGGACTAGGCTGGCTGAAATCCGCATCCCATTTGAAACCGGAACAGGATAGACGTGTACGTTGCGAGCAGCACTGCAGTTGAGGAATTTTACGGTTTGGAGTTGGATTATGGCTAGACCAAGGGAAACGACGAGGCAAGTCTCAATAGTCAATTGCAATTGCAGAGCGGTGAAGGAAGCGATGCGATAAGGGAGGAGGAAGGGAGAGGCACAAGGAAGAAGAGAATGAAGAGCATTTTGATTTGGAATTTTTAAATACCAATAGAAGCGCAGGGTCTGCTGCTTTGGGAAGCAGAACCTGGTCCCTGTGCAGTCCAGGCCCCGGTTCTTACCATTGCAATCTCATGTGCTACTTTTTTTTTTTTGCCTTTTTTCCTTCTTAATCTTCTTTTTGACCCATGCTTTGTAGTATTTGATAATGTTGCCTGAAGATAAAGGACTAGCTCGATAGAATTTTAATTTGAATTAAATTTTGATTTTTTTTATAAAATTGATTGAGTTAATCAATTTATAGCCTAGTCTAATTTTAGTATGATTTAAAGTTAAACTGAATTGAACTGGTCCAATACGATTAAAAGATAGGTTTCGGTATTATTCAGTTTCTCACTTTGGTTTTTTTTTCTTCCTTTTTTTCACCTCTAAGAGTTATCAATTTATTTTAATATAATAAAATCAGTTAAAATAATAAAATTATTTATAGTCATATAAAATTTATCACGATAACAACAATTATAAAATCACAGCAATATCCAACAATAACAAAAAATATTTCAATTACAATATAAATGATTCAAATTAGATAACTTTTAACATGTCTAAAGTTTATTACACCAAATTAGCAACAAATTTCATCGATAAAAGGAGAAAATTGAGGTTGATCAATGTTTAAATTTTGCTCAATGTTTTTGACTTCACAAATATAAAATGCAAACAATTACTAAATATTATTATAAATTAACTTATTATAATACTAACTAATAAATTAATTATAACTATATTAAATAAATTTATAAGATCGGACCAAGTGGTCTACATGCTCGGTTTCTTATTTAATTTAATCAAAAAAAGGGCTTAGTCTTTTTGGTCCAAAAGACCAATTTTTATCCGAATAAGATCGGATTTGTCTCAAACCGGACTAAACTAAAAGACTTTTGCACAATTCTAATATTTGACAATCTTTTATTTCAACAGATAATAAATAGAGTCTAAAAGACTAGAACCACTCCCTGCAAAAAACTTAAAAAATTGTAGGAAAACATAAAACATAAAAAATAACAAAATCCAAGGTGCATGTTACGAATGGTAGCATTAATGTTCTTAAATTATTTATGAATAGCATTGTTGTTACTTTTGAGGGTAAAAGTTTAAATTTATCCTCGTACTTATTTTTAAGGAGCGACGGGTATTTTATATTCTTAAATGAGATAATTTTATTCTTGAATTATTTTTTTAGGATAAAAAAAACCTTTCTGTTAGTCAACAGTTAGTTTTTTATTTTTTTCTGTTCTCTACTTACGTGGCATGTTTGTGAGCCCCATGTATAGTGGTATATAGAAATATGACCATGTTTTTTATGTTAATTTACACTTAAATTTTTTTCTTACAAATACTGAACACCTAAAGTCTTGTTAAAATAAAATTTAATAAATATTATTAAAATATTTAATATTTTAATATTTAATAATTGACATATTATTATTTAAAACATCACACGACACAATTTAATATTTTAATATTTCGAATATTTTTTACTTTTGTATTAAAAAGGAAGGGAACGAACCTCCAAATTAATAAAAAAAAAATTCTCATCTCTATATTTTTCTCTTATTAAGTAACTTTTTTGTAGTACATTAATAGAATCAACGATATCTTTTAAATAAACATTTTTGTTAGCATAGTGTTGGTCCTAATTTATCATGTTTTTTATTTTACTTTTACCGCTACAACATGTAGAGAGTATTAAATTTGAAATGCGCAATACTTTTAAAAAAGATTGTTAGTTGACCATAAAAATTATAAAAAATAACATAAAAGTTTAAGGAACTTAACACATATTAAAAATATAATAAGTAAGTTACATCATGCACAAAAGGCACAATGATCTGAGCACTATTTTGGAGAGAAAATTGATATATTAAAATGAAAAAGTCACCTATAAATTTATAAAATACTAGTTTGAGTTGTTAATATTTTAAAAATAATTTATAAATTCCTAATGAATGTTTATAAATAATAATATTTAAATTATTACATATGAAAAGGTTTAATATTTTGGTAATATTTATTAAATTTTACTTTAATAAGACTTTAAAGTACCTGGTGCTTTTAAAAAAAGATTTTAAGGTGTCTAACACTTCTAGAAAGAGAGTCTATGAGCAAATTAATATTAAAAAGTATGATCAAAGCCTTACTTGTCATTGTGTGTAGACCCGGCACATGCCACATCAACAAAAAAAAGTAAAGTTAACGGCCTCCTAACAAAAGAGCATTTTTGAACTTCGAAAAAATACTTCTTACTTAAAAATATAAGGTGCCCAACACTCTTAAAAATAAGTATGAAAAAAATGGACCTTAATCCTTCTTTTAATTACACCATGTTTTATTTTGATTTTTTGAACTTATAAAGTATCTTTTAAATTTTTTAATTATAGCAATGTTTGTTTCATCAACAAAAAATTCTTATATTGAACATTTAAATATTTATAAAACACTCTCAAATGTTAATATATTATGGTTGATTTTTTAAAATAATAATGATTAATATAAAAGATAAAATTAAAATACCAAATTAAAATTTTTTATAATATTAAAGAACAAAAGATATTTTGTAGCCTTTTTAATTTTAATCATGTATTGAATTGATGATGATGATGTGGCGGTTATCTGTGTGGTAAAAAAAAAAATGTAGTTGCCTCTTTTAAATCTAATGCGTGAAATGTGAAGCGCATGCCTTCTCCTTTTTAACAAGTGGAATTTATTGTGGACAATTGATTGTACTAGTTACAATATCGCCTCTTTTGTTTGGGAGGTGTGTTAATTCGAACCTAACATTAATACGGTTGTGACGTTGTGTGCGTGCACATGGGAAAGGGTTAAGGGTAAAATTATATTTAAAAAAAACAAGTGCAATTTACTTGTGTCGTTTTATTTTTAAACCATATATTCATTCTTTATTATTAGGGCTGTTTACGATGCTCGGTTGTCCAAAATGCCCGCCCGAACCTGGTTATTTTTTGCCTAGCCCGGCCAAAAAAAAAAAGCCTTAAATGTTCTATACATGTTCGGGCTGGGCAATGTGCGGGCAGTGGGCAAGTCATGTAGCCCTGCCCATTTAGCCCAGCCCAATTTTTTTATTATTTTTTATTAATTTTTTTATTAATTTTTTGCTAACTTTTCTATGATTTCTTGCTAATTTTTTTAGCAAACTTATATATTATTGTTGTCAATTCTCTCATATTTTGTTTTTCATTTTGCTTTAAATGTTTATGTATGTTCTTGCAATTTTTGTATTTAGTTATGACATATTTTTTCTCCTTCATTCATGCAAGTTGGAAATTGGGAAGAAGTTTTTTGTGAATTCAAGCCTACTCTTTCAAATTATTATTTTTCAGATGATGCTCCAAGCTTTTGTTATTTTGGATTGAATTATGAATAATTTGATATTATGCCAAGACTTGTGGTATTTTATGAGTAGGGTAATTATTTGATGGGTTGGGTGGTCCAAAACTGCCCAACTAGCCCTGTCCTACCCAAACTAATAGGGTATTTTTGCAGGTAGGGCTGGGCATCAGGCTGCATTTTGCAGCTCATTCATTCTTCGGGCTGGGCATCAAGTAAGATCTTGTCCAACTCAACCCTATCTATGTGCACCTCTATTTATTATTGTATTGAAATTTAAAAATATATGAATTCTAATGCTATTGTTATTCATAATTTGGTGTCAGGGAAGAGGTGGTAGATGCCGAGGGCACTGGAGGGGTTGGTGCGGGGAAGGGAACGATAGCTTCGGGGGAATTTGAAATTCGATGCTGGATGACTATTTGAGGAAGGCAAGGGATACACGGTGTGGGTCCTACTTTCAACTTTGTTAGTTTGGCTTCCACAAATTCGGATGCATTTGAATTTTAATTAGATATAATTAGTTATGAAAAATATTAATTAATATAATTGATTTAGAATATAATTAATTATATTGTGTGGTATATAATTGATTTATAAAATTAATTAATATAATTAATTTTAATCAAAATTAAAGAGCATAAATTAAAATTATGTAAAACCATAATTTTGTAAAATTAATTATGAATTCAAAATTATATTTTTTAAAAAATATATATCCAAATTAATTATAAATTTAAAATTATAATTTTTTAAAAATATTTAAATACTTTTTATGTATGTCAAAATTAATTATCAATTCAAAATCACAATTATCTCATAAGCTATTATTTCTCATTTTTCAATTCAATTTTCAATTATAAGTTTCTAAAATTTTATCCAAAAATCATATAAATTATTTTACAAATCATATTTTTTATTGTTTATGATTGATTTTAACATCATAAGGGATGTTTGGATTTAAAAAAAATCATGATTGTGGGTTTGCAATTGATTTTATCATATATGAATGGTGTTTGAATATTTTTAAGAAAATATGATTTTAAATTTATCATTAATTTTAACATATAATAAAGGTATTTAGATGTATTTCTACAAAATAATGATTTTGATATATAAAATTGATTACAAATGTTATCCAAACAAGTACTTCCTGTCATTTCTCTTCTCTTTCACTTTTCATGCTAGCAATGTATCCACAATCTAACTTTAAGCTTCCTATCATTTTTAAGGGCCTATTTTGTGTGACGGGATTAGAAGGGTAGAAATAGATGTGAAAATGAAATTGAATTTTTTTTTGATTGATTAAAATCATATTGAACAGGACTTCCATATAAAAGTTATTTCCATCAAAATTGATGGAATTGGATTAAAAAAAATCAATTTTCAAATTTCACCTAACCAATTTCATTTTTTATCAGTTTACTTGTTCTCCCTTGTCTAGCAACTTGAACAACGGTGTCCTCCAGCAACTTGTGTCTGTTTAATTTTAGAAAGTTGTCACGCGATCCATTTGATGTGACGAAATAACTTTTAAAAGTATTATCTTTGAGCACAGCTCAAACTATAATTTTATCCATTGTTGCCAGCAACTTGAATGACGACGACCTCTTGTCCGCTTTTGGCGACTCTCTCGGTGGCGATGCATGGTTGTTTCCTCTTTTTTGGCAATTTGATCTCTTTTATTCTTCACTGTACCAATTTCAAGCTACCTTCCTTAGATCTCAAACCTCCTTTAGCGACAATAAAGGAGACGGATATGAGATATGTAAACTTTAATATCTCAACTAAGATTTAAGAATAGTGATGTGCGTATCTGAAAAATCCATAAACGCTTGAGAAAGTTCGATTACCTCGAGTGTAGATAGACGCACAACCTACTAGCCCCTAGAGTCTTCAAAGAGTATAGAGATAATGGAGTAATAGAAAATGAGTCGTGTGTTTGCGGTTATCGACTAATCGATTTAGTATCAGTAACCGCTTTATTAATTAATTAAATAATTATTTTCTATTATCTCTGACTTAGTCAGTTAAGAGATAGGAAATAACTGATGGTTATTGGGCTGTGGGTTGGGTTTCTTTTCATTAGGTTCACTTGTATGGTCCACCTATTACGATTCACACAAGATCATAAAGACCAATCTGCTTGAACTTATTAATTAATGTTAATTTAATAAATAAATATTCACTGCGACAGCCTCCAGAGCCACCTTCTCCCTCATAGGTGGTGACAGTGGGTTTGAGTGGTTATGGATGGCGACAATTTTCTTCTAGATCTGGGTTCTTCCATAGGAAACTATTGATTTCCAGCAACCTCCAACGATTTCTTGGCCTTACCTTCAATGACGAAATCTCTTTTGCTTTTGGCTCCATCGTGTTTTTTATTCATTCTTCTTCGCTGCATCTGCTAGAGCTCAATGGCAAATTTTTAATCCCCACTTCTCCTTCTTGATTTTTGTATATTGCATTTCATTTCTAATTTGTAATTGTTGATGTTGTGACTGATTTCTTTGTAGCCTCTCTCTTCAATTTCATGGTCGCAATGGTTCATGGTGGTCCCTTCTTCAATCTGGGTTGGGCAAATTTGTTTTTGAGATGAGAACATTTTAATCTTTTCTTATTTTATATGTTAATATTAAATAAAAATAATCTCTCAATTTCATAAATATATCAAACAGATTGTTAAATCACATATTTATCTTTACTTTTATATTCACTTTTATTTCTATCAAAATCATCTTCTCATACCGAACGGATCCAAGAGTTGAAAATGAAACTCTTTGATCACACCTTAACTATTACTCAATCTTGAATGACAGTAAAAGATTGAATTGAATTTCTATGACACTAGCGCGTTATTTACGGACACCATATTGTTGGCGGCATGCCGGCATCCAAAAAAAAAAAAAAATTAATGGTGCTAAGAAAAAGCAAAATTGACGTGTTTGTACTGTTTCTCTATATTGATCTCATGTTAAAATCTGGCATCCAACTTCTAGTTTAGACATTATCTCTTGTTAAACTAATAATATATCTTATTACAATAGCAATACTTCAAATAGTGAGAGGGAATTAGCAATTTTTGTTTTTTTTATTGCAAAGTCTGAATCTTATCATCAAATTTCAGATACCTACCACTCCCGCTTCGCCCGCCAACCTAAGCAAGCGTGTAACAAAAATAGCACCGACTCAATGATTGAGATAAGAGTCTGAAGAACAAATTGGGGGGGAGTGACGATAAAAATTCTCAGAACTTGTTTGCATGTTAAACACAAAAAGTCTCAGAACTTGAAATTTATGACGTTTAAGTCTTTAATAAAATTTCTTAAAAATCAATTATAAATATTAATTTAGATAATCATAAATTCAGAAGTTTTAATTGTAAATAAAATATTTAAATTTTAAACACAACTCTTATTTTATAATTGGGCTGTTTGGAACTGTTTGAATTCATGTTTATAACTTATTGTAAAAAACATTTTATCAGAGACATAACTGTAATAAATTCTAAGTTTTGAGATTCTATTATTATTATTGTCTAAAAAGATAACTTCATCGATGAAAATAAATGACAAAGACATTTCTTTAAATATTTAGAAAAGACAAAGGCAATAGTCTATGCAAATATTCACATGACTATCCAAATAAAAAAATAAGCTGAAAAGAATTTTGATCTATGAGACCACACCACACTAGAGCTGGGAGTCTGGGTGGGGTCGGGCATATTCGCCTAAATCCGAAAACTTCCTGAAAAGTTTAAATAATTAAGTCAGCCTCGAATTTTTTCGAACGTTAGGCTGTTGGATATCCAAATTTTTATTTTTAAATTATTTTTAATTAATTTTTTACTTTAAAATTAATTATTTTATTTTATAAAAAATATAAAATATATTTTTTATATTTAAATAATGTATAGGACTCAAATATATATTATTTTAGTATAAAATAATATAAAACTTAATTAATTAATTAATATTTATCATATTTAATATATTTTATAAAAATAAAATTTTTTTATTCGGGTATTTGGATCAAGTCCGAACTCGATCGGGCTTGGCTCTAATTTTTCGAGCCTCCGAACATAAAAAGGATTATATTTTTTTAAAGCCCGGTCTTAACTTTTTATTGACGGGTTTGGATTAATCTATTAAACTTACCTTAATTATTAACTCTACACGACACGCACGCTACTCTCACAATTCAATAACAGACCTAAAAATGTAAAATCGTACGCTTCGAGAAAATCGTGGGAGTGGCCGTAAGGCACGCTACGGCGGACGGGGAGTCTGTTTTAAAGCCGAGGCCTTGATGGGCGAAAACAAGTGGTTGTTCATTTTTCGATGTCCAGCCAGTTGGCTATAAATATAATTAAAAACTTTGAATGCAGACGTGAGAAAGACACGATGCTCATTTCCTCATTGACGCGTGATTAGTAATGGATATGTCATAGTCAACTGAACTACTCTACTTGACCCGGCTACACGTAACATCAGAAAATCAAAACTAAACAATTACAGTGCCCTGTCTTTACCAGCCAGGCAGCCACACACCAGTTGCTTCTGCCTTTTCCACACACAACCAGTTGGCAAAAATGGGCACTTCATAATTTCATGGACAATAATACCGGTTGCTTCTGCTTTTCCCACATACAACCAGGGGGAAGGGGAAGCATTCACTCCATCTATTACAAGTCTCTCTGATCTGATGGTGCCCAAAAGAAACAAAGCAACAAACAACTCTTTGGGACTACTTTTGGAATTGCAATATTATATATATATATATATATGTATATATGTCTAGGAGGTGAATATAATACCTTAGACTAATTTACAGTAGATACTGATTGGAGAGGGGTTGACACTTGACAGTGTGTGTGAAGCTAATTATTAGGAGGCTCCTATTTTCTCTGGCCCTCTTGCCTGCGTCTCCACGGGACTACTTGCTTCAAGCTATCACAAACGCTCGCCTGCACTTTCCACAAAATCACATTATTCTTCCATAACCGCTCCGCCAAGCTAATCATTAATCATTACACCACCACCACCAAAACTAACAGTAATGACAACTTTTTTTTAAAAAAAAAAAATTTGCCATCGTAACGTTGATCTCTCAGCCTCTCAAAGGAAATGTGCTGAAGTTCCGTCTCTCCGACGCTAAGCTGCCATTAGTTTATCAAATTGTTACATTCCACTGCCTGGCAATCCGATACTTGCAGAAGCTCCTCGTCATCATACACCTAAGCACATACATCCGCTTGTATATTCATTTATCATTTTATTGATTTCCGGGACACCTAAGCACATACCTTTCACCTTTTTATTAAAAAATATATATTATTTTGTAAAATTTTCGTAAGAATGTCTGAAATATTCCATGTTTAAATTTTTGCCGGCCTTTATTAATTAGTTCTAGACCACCATATAGACGAAGGCAAGCGCCCGTCTCTTCCTGATAAACGGAGACGACGCGCTCGTCATCTATATACGGTAGACAGAATCCTTGTAACACAGTGCTTCATAGAGAAGATCAACTAGCATGGGAGATGAACTAAGACTCATGACCCCCCAAAAGAATAAAAAATTAAGACGACTTACCCAGAAATGCGACCTTGTGTTGGATACGTTACCGAGAAAGCTTCCTCTTCTCCTCATGCCGACCCTAGAGATCTTTACTTCGGTGGCACGGCCATCTGCAGTACAGTCTGAAAAGTCAAAGCTGCCTTCCATAACCTCCTCACCCTCCTCTCTGTTTCTCTTGAAACTTCTCCACCTGCTGGACCCAAAATTGCCGTTCCAATGATCCTTACTCGCGCGCCTGTCATTAGACGACGCGAAGGACATGACCCGGCCAATGTAAGGACCATCCAAGACGTTGGTTGGGGACGGCACGCTGGACACCTTCGCCTCAGAGAACAGCAGCCTGGGAGGCAGCTCCAAGGCTCTAGCAGTCTTGGGCTTGGATTCGGCGGGGCGGTGCTTGGGCTTGCCCGGTGCTTCTTCCCATTGGAACGGAACGGAGACAGCCACGTGCAGCGGCGGAGTCTTCATTTCCGGCGGTCTGGTTGGCCTGGAAATCAACAAGGAGAGCTTTGGTGGTGTGCCGTCGTCTGATCCCATAATCTATCTAGCTAGGTAGAAAGATCTCTGGCAGATTTTCTGGTGAATTATGATCGGATGGTAAAGTGGGGGTTGAGTATTTTATAGAGAGAGAAAAGGAGTGGAGAGTGCGTTGGGTGGTGATGAATGTGAAGCGAGAGTGGCGCAGCAACTGAATAACGCTCCCGGCGCTGCTTCAACCCACGAGAAGATGCGCTTCTTATTTTTACTTGCACGGGGTTGATGAAACTACTAAAGTACCCTTTTGGCCAGGTCAAAGCAGATGGGTCCCGCCATGAATATTTCTGATTGGAGGATAGTGACCATGAACGGTCATGACTATCTCCGATTCTCCCCTTCGTGGACAGTCGTTGTTTGGTGTGTGGAAAAATACTTAATTTGCCCCCAGAGACAAGGAAGCAAATCCTTTACCACTAGAAGCCGCCCATCTCGTACTACTGGTCAATCATATGTGTGTGGCTTCCGACTTCCGAGTTTTGAAACTCCAGGTAAAGTATAGTCCTATCATTTTTCATTTTGCTAGGTGCTAAGGGAGTGTGAGAACATAAATATGACCCCGAAAACCTATCATTTTTCACTTTGGACAGTAATAACTGTAGATTTATTATTAAATATAAAAGTAGGTAATATATCACTGTATTTTGGAGGTTCACATGCATGTACCAAGAAAATGAATGCTGGAGGGTTTCAAAAAGGGCGTGAGCCGCATGTACTCATAATTCGAAATTAACGAGATTAGAAAACTGCAGTGGGTCACGGTCCGTGCATTATTTGCCTCACGGCTAAGCAGTTAAAATTGATGGGTGGCGCTCGTGTCCGGGGCTTACTTAATTTGAGCCATAACTCCATCTTACTTTTTCGGCCAGTGAGAATTTCTGATAACAAAATCGGGATGGAATTCAGAAGTTATTAAAATTATTAACAATACAAAGTGAATAAATCTAAGAACCTTTTTATTAAAATTATTTTTTGAAAATATTTTTAAAATTACTTCACTCATGACTTAGTTTTACGAGAAATTAACAATTTTTATCATTGAAAAATATATACAACTAAACTTTAATCAAGATCTTAAAATTAAATTAAAGTATAAAGTATTCACAAAGAAGAATGATAAAAAATTAATCGTGTATCAAGCTCGTATTATATTTTGATCACGTCCCTTTTCTGAATTCTTTGTGCGCTCGTAAATGTCACATTTCTTCCGGTAAGATCGCTTTCCTTTTTCTTGGCCCGAAAATATCAAGAGCTGAGGTGGCATGATTTATGCGCAGGGCCTCGTTCTCATGCCGTGCACCCTTCCGCAGTCAATGGCCACGCTCGCGGGTTCGAGTTCTCTCGGTCTATCGGCCAGGTTGGCCTTCCTTCTTGAACTTTCGCTTCCTCTGGTCTCACAACTTTCATTTAAACGGAGAGCGCGCTTTTCAGAATAGTACCGAACTCCTCCTAATTTCTATCCAATTTCACCCGCAGAATTTTGAGGGAATCTGACTAATTAGGCCTTACTACACGGCTGTTCATTTTTACTTTGATTTATTCGCAATGGGTGAATGCAAAATGGAGGACGTGTCACTGCCATCTGTCTTCGAGCAAGCCCGAAGGGTTCACACAACAGCAACGGAGTCTGGGGCTGATCAGGTTTGCCTGCGCTAACACTTGAGTCTTTGTTTCATTGCTTTGGTTGGACTTGGACACGTTATTCTTTTAAAGTTGCTGGTTTAATTGGGGGTTTGTTCAGGAGGTTGTCAGGAAAGGCTGCGAGGTACTGAGGAAGTGCGAAGACATGATAAATAAGCTGGGTCTGTTCTCGGCTAATGAGACCAAAGATGATATTAGTACCACGAGTCTCAAGTATATTCTGGTAAGTGGCAATCACTGCTCTCTAATTGTTACGGTTTTCTTGGGTTAACTATCGTCGAATGTTTCGTAGCTGACATGTCTCTTTTTCTGAATTTTCAATTTTTATTGATTGATTATCTGTTCTCAAGTTTAATATTTTTCATCAATGAATCTTCAAATTTCTACTTTTAATGTTTTCTTCCTTGTCTTAGTTTTATCTACGTGTCAGCAATAAGTACAAACGAGGAACAAAAATATGCTTTCCCGTCTCCAGCTTACAGATCTTTTTTGTTTAACTTATTGGAACACGTGAAGGGAAAAATTGTATTTCTGCTCTGGATGAATAATTAGAACATTGGGTGATATTTTTAAGATTTTTACTTCGATTTTTAATATGAAGAGAAACACAGGAATTGGACCGACATTTTGTTTTCAGCAAAACGGTCTTGAAGGAAGATAAATAGTATGAATTATTAAATATAATATCTTGCTTGTATTTAAGAAGAAACTCAAAAGTTATGCGCTTATGTCTCTTTTGGTAGCATGTAATTGGCACCAAAGAACTGGAAGTGGAACTGAGAAAATAGGCTGTTTGGTACAATGGATCTCACTTTTCTGGAGAACCCAGTTCCATCAAAACTGGTGAAACTCACTTCCACCCTCATACCCAAGGAACCCATTTCCTCCCTCACTTCTTTAATAAAAAATGGTCCACGAGACTATTTTACCCATCAATTTCCTTCACCCTCGAGGGCAACTCTTCCACCAGTCACCTTCTACATCTCTTTCACCATCACCATCTTTGGCATCCATTGTTGTCACCATCTCCAATGTCCATCACTGTTATTGTTTCCAACTTCCGTGGCCATCACCGTCTTGCTGAATAATGGAAGGTGCAATCTCTAAGCCCAAGCTAGAAGCTTGTTCTCTCTTCCACATTTTGAAGGAGGTGAAAGAGATCAACAACACTGTAGGTGATCTTCTAGCTGCTGCCGAATCTGACAATGCCGTGAAAGATGATGCAACCATGAAGTTGCAAAAGAAGGTTAATTCATTCCAGAAGGGACCGGACCTATCTTTGAAATATATTCAATATAATATTGATCTTTCTAAAGAAAATTATTTTGGCCACAGATCTTTTAGAAAAATGTTTGATTAATTATTGAATTTGTTGGATGATGTTGAAGTTTTCCCATTGATTCAGTTTCAAGCATGAAGGCTACGGTTGTTCTTGACAACTTGGGCTAGTTGTTGATGCTTTTAGCCTTTTACGGTGGAAGAGATTTTTTAAAGGGCATTTTAGTACTTTTATATTATAAGTACATATTTCAATTTAAAATTATATCTCACTTCCCTGTGCATGCCAGACATATTTTAAAACCCACCCCACTTCCACCACTTCCTCTTCCTCTTCCACTTCCATCAAAATCTTTTCCATGCTACTAAACGGGCATAAGAATTTGTATATCAGGAGCACCTAATTGAAGGATGATAAACCGTAAAACTAGAAGCTTTATTGTACTCCTATAATTGAAATAGTTCATTTTGCAATGATCCTTGCATTGATTTATTTGATGGTTGTGATAGAAGGGGATGTGATGAGTTTCTGAACTTCATGTTCAATCTTTGTAATTTTCTTGTTTAAATGGTTGCATTCAAGTTGTCTATGAATTTAGGGCAATCTTCATTTTCCTTTGAAGGTGTAACCAACAGCTTGCTGTTAAAAGTATTTACTATGTGCTTAGATTATATTCACAATTAACTACATGATAGAGAGGGGGAATTTCTAATGGATTAAGTTTCCTCATAGAAATGGTAGTTTGATTCTTTTCTCTTATGCAACATTCAAAAGGATGCAGAACAATTGGTACTGGCAAATTATAATGCTTTATATATAAAATTATGCAAAATTATGCATTCCCCCTCTGATGATATCAATTTTCTAGGAGGATATATATCTATATATATGGTAGAGTTGGGCATGTGCATTGTTTCGGATAAAACTGTTTCAGCTGTTAAGGCATGGATATTGAAGTTGACTGGTGAACTAAGCTTGGTTCACTTTAAGCAAGATTGCTGTTTTGTTGTATGACTTTTCACAATAATCTCTCAGGTGCCATTTTATCTAGCTGAGTTAACTGGAAAAATAGCACAAGATGACAGGATACAGATTCTTAAGGCTTCCCAGGCAAAGCTAAAGGTTAGTACTTACTGACACATGAAGGGGACAAAGTGAAAAGAGTGGAGAAGAAATTCAGCAAATAAATGTAATTAAATTAACTCTTTAGTTAACGTTTCTCAATCAAAACTTATTAAGAATAACATTTTGCAGGACTTTCTCTCATTTTGTGAAGCAATGGAGCTTGTCCCACAAGAGGAGTTAGAATCTTATAAGCAAGGGGCACCAAAATCTGTTGCTGATCAGAGGGCCAGAAAGGTAAGGTTTTATTGTAGTATGGTGTGACGGGATTGCAATAAGGTTCAGTGCTAATACAGAGCAAGTTTGTATTGTTAAACTTTTTCCTGCTTTGAATGTGAATTGGACGAGAAAATCTGAATAAAAAGTACAGTGTGATATAATGGAGAATAGAAATTTACCACTACTTTAATGATTTTGGGGCCTCTTTTGTAGATTGCTAGATTTAAATGTCAAAGAGCTGTAGAGTCAAAATTGCTGGAAATAAAGTAGCAAAAGGAGAGGCGTGGCTGTTCTACCAAAGCCGCTGCATTGTCTGCCCCTGTTGAGGCAGGAGAAGAAGAAGTACTGGATGACGGTGGAGAAGAAGGAAGAGAGGTTTTCTTCTCATTCCTTCATGCTTTATGTGTAAATGATACCATTCTTCTGGAGCTCGTGTTGTAGTTTGTCAGTTCATATTTACAGCATATACTTTTTTTCCCTCTGATTGGAAGGTGCTTCATGGAACAAATTCTGGGCAACTTTTCCACCGGGTCATTTTGATTTTCTTTGATTGTAACCGATGGGCTATAAATCACTTAAGATTATATTGTATCTTCTAGCCATCGAATTTTGCCAAATAATGGCTATTTCTGACTTTGTGGAATCAATATTGGCTCGATAATTTAGCCTTGAACAAACCGTATACTTGAGAAAAAGGTTTCAATTTGAGAAAGAGGAGAATTCAAGGTTGAAATTCTTTATATAGATAATCATTGACCAAACTAGGCTCCTATAGTTGTCTCTGTTGGATTGTATAAACAACCCATTTTGGAAGATGGTGGTGGTCTTCTGGCTTGACAATTATCGTACAAGGTTTTATTCATTAAAAAAACCTAGTAAATTTGTACAATTAACAGACTTTGAAGGTGCATTATGCTCCTCATATATATTGATTGCCATTGAAAATTGATCATAATTTTCTTTGCTTTCATTCATTTAGTCCCCATTAGATGGGTTAAATTTAGGTTACTTTTATCCCAAGATTGGAGTGAGCACAGAAGGGGGATATTTCCTCATTGGTTCAGGTTTACAGAAAATATTCACGGGATCTATAGATAATCTTTTAGTATATTATTCAGCTGGTTTTTGGAAATCAGTTTTCTGCTTTATCATATTTACAAAAGAACCGATTCAAAATGCAATTTTTCAGCAATCTGTAGGATGGACTCTTCTGTTTTATCCAACTGCATTGTTCTGGTTTTTTAAATCTGTTCTCTCTCAAAGTAACATTGATTTTTTTCCCTTTTTCTTGCAGGCATGGTTTGCTACTATATATTTGGCAATCTTTAAGGCTGGATTCACACTTATGTAGCTATTTTCCTCATATCAAAATTGCACCTTTCCTGTTCTCATTTGTTGCCGCCATGATCAGGCATTAGATCTGCTGGAAATGTTAAAGAAAGAGGAAGAGATGCTTTCTGCGATAAAGGAGAAACAATCCAAGGTAGTAAAATACTCAATGTATGGCAATTTCCCCAAAGCTCAATCAGATATCCTGTAGGATGTAGTCACAATTTGATGATGTTATACACTATGAAGGCATTTCTAGAATATTGTATAGACTATAGAATTCTTTGGAACTTAAGTCATTTGGCAATGTAGCAGAGTAAATCACTTCGCCAGATCATGTGTGGGCACCATATTCAGCTATTTATAGAGCACGTTCACTATCTGATTTTTTTGTGGCTTAGGATGGGGACAAGGAATTCTCTAAGGATGTTCTTGATGAACGTTGAAAAAAAGCAGAAGCTTGGCATCGGGATGCTGCATCTCGTGCGCAGTACACTAAACCAGCACAGCCAATCACATGCGCCACTTTTGCTCAAGATGTTCTGGAAGGCAGATCAAAGGTCACCGGGGCACATGATCACAAACACCAACCAGTTATATTTGGAGCAGCCAGTCTTACTCATGGAGGCCTAACAAGTGAAAGGGAAAGAATGGCGGCCCAGGTCTTCCAACCTGGTTATAGGTACCCATATTTCCTCTGCGACAAACCTGGTTATAGGTACCCATATTTCCTCTGCGACAAACAAATCGAACGTTTAGTTTGATGAAAGAAAAATGTGAGGGATGGGGAAGTAACTCTAAACGGGTAATGCCGGAAAGAAGTTCGATTTCAATCATCTTCATCATTGTTTTCAAGGACGAAGGTTACTTATATGTTCTCTTTTATTTTTGACCATCTGCTTGTCCTATTATTATTATTTTACCAAAATGCTATGAACGCCCGTATAGGATACTAAGTAGAATGTTACTAATTTTTGTGAAAGGTTGCCAACCATGAGTATTGAGGAAGCTGGGCTTAGGGAAATGGAGATGATGAATGAATGGCTATAGAGAAATGCGAGGCTTATGGAAGAAGCTAATTCATCTTGGTACGAGGATAGGAAGTCAGGGCCAGGGGAAGAAGATGATGATGCTACACAGGAGAAGGCAAGAGCTTGGGGTGATTGGAAAGATGATAATCCTCCGGGAGCGGGCAATAAAAAACTTACGCCATGTGGTTAAATTTTAGGTGACTGCTGTGCTTTGTTGTTCCATGCTGTAATGAAGTCACAGTTTCTGTAGTTGGTTTGCTCTCGAAAATTGTGTATAAGATCCAATAATTCAATGCAATGCAACGCCAATCTCCCAATAAATATGTTTCAATCTCCTGAGGGCGATAATTAATGCAAAATCCTGCTCAAATTTAACCCAACAATTCCTTCTCAAATTAATACAAGTGCATTAAGTTCAAGTCTTTCTCTAATCACTTAAACCTGTACTAGAGGAAAATTAACTAAAATTAGCCTCTCGCGTTTTTATCTTCGAAAGTCGATGCTATGCATTTTCCACGCAACGCCCACTTGGCCCCGCCCGTAACGGCTTCTGAGTTCTGTCTCCCTATGAAGCATTCCATATCACAGACCTGCTATAGCAGGTGTCATGACAGCCATCCTGGTGCTGTTAAATTTTGATTCCTTTTCTTATTCACAAAAAAAAAAAAAAAAAAATCCCTGTTTTCTTCTCCTAAATCTTTCAATCTTTTGTCACGGTCCCTGAAATGAAAATGCCACCAACAAGTGATAAAAACAAACACAAATTGTAAAGATTAAAGCAATATCAAAATATATACAAACTAAAAGGGTTTAACTTAAATAGACTAAAATTAATTTAAAAGCAGTGGATGATTCTCTAATTAATTAATAAAACTACCCGAAATTCGAGAAAATTCGAGTCATCACCTAACAAATTTATCTTCTTTGCATTCACAGAGAGCACTTGTGTCTGTTTTTCACATTTCTTTTTGTTATTTTTTCAGACTGTTTTTGTTTCCTTTTCATTAATAAAATTTTATTGTTTTAGTAATTTTTTTCAATTTTTTAAATATTCTTTTCCCTCCCTCTTCATTCATCTTCTTTAATAAATTTACCTTCAAATTTAAAATGTAGTCCTATGATTAAAAAGAATAAAACACGACTAGTTTAAAAAAAGATTAAACAGTAAATTTGCCCTTAAACTTTATTCAACTTTTTTTCACAAAAAAGATATTACTCCTAAACTATAAGTCTAAAACCTTTTAGTACCTTAGACCCTTTTTCGTATAATGTTTTTATTCACTGGTAAAAAAATATTTTTATTCAACTTTTAAAAACGGTATAATGTTGTCTCTACCTTTATGTTAATAAATACTAACTTTGACCATTAGTTAATAAAAAAATTATAAAAAATTCATTTTTTGTAATTTTTTGGATCATTGTTTATGATTTTTTATCTTTTTCTGTAATTTTGATGTCCTTTTTGTGTTTTTCTAGTCATCTAATAATTAAAATTAATTTTTGTTAATGGTAGCAGCACATTGCACTATTTTTAAAAGTTAAATAAGAATATTATACTAAAAATAAATTTATGGTCTCAAACATTCATAAACCTATAGGTTAATAGTAAAATTACTCTTTAATCTTAAAAAAAAAACCCCCACATGTTGTTATTTGTTGATGGATGATAATGAGTATTACCATGTTAGTATGAAGAATGATCATTTTTTATCATAGAATTTGTTGAATCTTGAAAGTGAACTTGAATAACGCAGCTTATTGGTTAAGTATTTTGTTGTATGTTCATTTTAAATTAGATCACTAGTCTATTATACATTTTCTTCGGTTTTATTTATAAGTCATTTCTACCAACCTCATCAATACCAATACAATAAAAGTATAAAGAATAAAAGTAAATAAAATTTCAAACATAACTCTCGAGTAAAAAATAAAAAGTAAGTCAATCATATAATATAATATTTTTTATCTTTCTCTCTCTTACTTTTTAAGGATAAATTGGGGATTTTAATTTGAAATAAAACAATATTATCAACAAATGACTTATAAAGAGGACCAGATTATGCTTTTAGAAAGTGATTTATATACTAAATCGGAGGAGTACTCAATTAGATCACTAGTCTATTATATACTCCCTCCAATTCAAATTATAAAATAAATTGAGATGAAATTATGTATATTAATAAAATTCAACAATGACATTTTAAAATTTTATTTTTTTAAAATTAAAATATAAACTTTTAAAAATATTTTTTATTTAATATAATTTTAAATCTACACATTTAATCATTACACTATAATTATTTCAGTTCTTCGAAGGGTATTATAAGAAAAATCGTGTCAATAAAATCTTATTTTTATCAAATTATCTTATATCTTAATATGGTGAAATATTTTTAAAGTTATCTTATATTTTAGGAAGGGGGAAGTTGAATGATAAGTTTGATTATTCATAACTTATAAATTGTGCTACTTTTAATACATTATATATTGATTATTTGTTTTGTAACCCGATGTGTTATTATATAAGTTGTCAAGTATACATTGAGAAAGATATAAACAAAAAATTCAAAGAATAAAAAATGATTATATGAAAACAAAAGATGCTATTTTGGTGAATAATTTGCATTCCAACTCTTAGAATTCACCGTGTCCCGAACATGAGAAAGCTGGAAAAGCATGTGTCAATCAAGTTCCTTGGCATGTCACGTGATATCATTCTATTAATTGTTGAAGGCCAATAACTTGACATCACAACTAGTTTTAGCCAAAAAAACCTCGACCATATGAATGATTTTTCTGGGGCCTTAATGGGATGCAGCGTCATGAAAGTCTAGCTTTCGGTGCTGCAACTTTTTGGAAATTGTTCTTTAATTGTTTCATGTTTTAGGAATTTGGTTTCTGTGCTCTTCTTTTGTATTTTACATTTCTGTTTGGTCGTGCTTGCTGATATAGACTCTTATTGTTTCATTTTGGTTTATGCAGATTATTTCTTTCTTTTCATATCAAAACGGTTATTGCTTTGGTATTTTAAATCTTACAGGATATTTTTCCACAAGTGCTCAGTGCATTGATCTTACTCCCCCGTTTTTATATATAAAAAAGCTATATCATACAGTTTAAAACCATCAATTAACTATAATAATTATATTTAAAAATAAAAAAGTGAATCAAAATGCCTTATATTAATCAACATAATCATACATTAATTATTTTTTATTAATGTAAATTATAAGAGGATTTAAAAAATATATAATAAATATTTATTGGAATGATGATTTTGCTTATAAAAAAATACAAGTCAAAAATAATATTTCTAAAACAATAAAAAAGAGAGGAAGTACATGTGAACGCAAAAGCCTAGTTTAGTTAGGGTGCATCAAGATGGGTCTGGACAATTGGCAACAATTATTTATTAAATGGATCACTTAATACAATTAGAGTCATTACTTTAATTTTCAGTTCCCAAAAGGAAAAAATTAGAGCAATTAATCGCCAGGGTTCTTGATGTGGCACTATTAAGTATTAATAAACAGCCTCCGATGTTAATAACTTCTATTGTTACTGCCATATACCATCGGGTTACCGGTATGTAAGTTAAATACTTAGACATCTCCTAAAAAATATTTTTCATCATTCTAGTTGTCAACTACCTTCATTCATTTGGCTGGCTGACTGAGTATATACTGCATGTCACAGATTGAAGAGCTGAAAAGAAACATGCATCATAGATCCAAGGTCTTGGAATGATTTAACACAATATGTTGCATGTCATATCCGAATTCCGTGATTTTGAATAATTTTTCAAATCAAATGATAGTGTCCTATCAAAAAAACATAATGATACGCACAATAATATATATATTCAGCAAGTAATCTCCATTAAGGGAAAGAAATTACTAAAAAGAGCAAAGTCACACCGAACCCTTAATTGCTTATCAGATAAACATATCCGTTTTTCATATTGATCGACGTCGATGCATGATAGCTCAGTACTTTATGGTTTTCAAGCAATTTCCATTAGAAACAAGAACCGAAGAATCCCCAAAGAAGAGACCACTTTTGTTTTGAATTCAACTCTGCATGCACTTGTACCCTCTGCAATAAACCCATAACCAAATTACAAATAACATCGCACAAACAAGTACGTCCAGCAATAGCACCACGCACACATGTTTCTTCCATATCTGCTTTGCTTTTTGTCGATCGTTGGCCCGGCCCTTGGGTGCGGACAAGGCAAAATCTCTGGTGCAACAATTTATATCGTCACCCATCTCCAATTTATTCTCCATTGCAGCATCCTTACCATCCATTACATTGCCTTCTACGCTCACCCTTCTCTTCTTCTTCAAACTTTTACTAGGCTGCTCAAGCAAAGGTACCATCATCGATTTTTTCCCCTTCACGGATCCCACGCTCGGTTTTCGATCATCCTTGTTTTGGCCCTGCAGCGGCTTTTCCGATTCCAAATCCGAAGTCATTGATTCTCCAAAGATAGGATCAAATTGAGCTTGGAAACAGAGCGGCGAGAAATCATCAGAATCCGTGATGGACCTGCCTTTCAATATCGCGTTCAATGCGCACTTGATGCGATCTAAAAACCAAAGGGCCTCCGATTTCAGGAGCTTTTCATCGAAAATCGCGAAATAGACAAACGCTTGATCAATTAAGAACGCATAGGTCCTGTTCTTAACAGAGTGAGAAAACATGCAGTGGTGGAGAGGAGCTTGCTCAAGGCATTTTGCAGCTAATTCTTCGATATGTGGTTCCTTGGAACCGTGTTGGGCGAGAATTGTGGTTCCTTTCGCAACGCAGGCATAATGGATGAAGTTCGGGCTTGAAATCATCGACAGATCTATAGCAAAAACAGAGGAATGCAATTAACGAGCCTGAACGGCACGACAAGCAGGGGTTCAGAGAGGAGGCTCCGATTGAGGGGAGCTCTTGTTCCGATTGAAAGCTTCCTGGGGAATCGCCTGCATCCGGGAACTGGGTTTGATAGAGAACGAAACCTTAATCTCTGCCTCAACATACTTTGGATCTGCCTCTAAAATTCTCAATCATCATTCGCCTGTGTTATTGAACCTAGGGTTTGGGTAAGGCGAGAAATTGAAGGGAGGCAACGGGGCAAATCAAATTAAAAAAAAAAAAAACAGATAGAAAGAAAAAGAAAGGGACTGCTGGACTCGCTTCCTTTGGATGAAGAAAATGAGGAAGGCGACGGAGTGGTGATTGCCGTCGCAAAACTATATGTGGAATTAGATACGCGCACACTTACATACATACGTTACACATGACACACATGTAAATGATGATCATTTCCTTGTCCCAAAAAAACAATGATTATTTGATATTTTTAACATGATGGCATGGTGCGATGCCGGTAATTGTTTTGGCTGACAGCGAATAATCTCTTGTTATGTATTAAGATATTTTTTTTGGGTAGGAAATTTGGATTGTTGGCTGTACTGAATTGAGACTTCTAATGCTTTTATTTTTAAAAGAATTATATATAAGTTTTACACAAAAAAAATAATTATTATAAAATTTATTGATGATTAAAATAAAACCATAATTATATATATATTTTACATACAATCACTTGTTAATGATCATAATTTAGTTATCAATAAATCTTATAATAATTATTTTTTTATGTAAAACTTCAACAAAATTCTCCCTTCATTTTTTTCCTCCAAGTCCAATTATGTAAATATAGTGTGACACTGGTTCCTCTAACTCTGTGCATATAAATCATATTAGGCATGATTTATTTAACTAGATCAATTCCTATATTTTATACAAACATTATAAATTAATATTTATAATGAATAATGAAGAAATATCAACTTAGAAATAATCTTTTAGGTGCTTTTTTTAAAAATTCATGAAAAAATAAATAAATGAGTTAGTGAGCTCATTTAACCCATTAACCTTTAATGATTGAGTTGATTTATGATTTTTTTAACCCATATAAAAATAAATTAAATCAATCTCACTTATATTTTTTTGACTGCCAGCTCATATAATTTAGGTTGGCTTATATTTTCAGCCATATCTAACTCCAACAATACAGGCTTCTTGAGAAAAAATGGATGGTTTTTTTTTTTTTTTTAATATAAGGAGACAGATAAAGTTGTGAGGAGTTACAAAAGTCAGGTCAAAACGGATGGTTTGTACTTTGTAATTGCTTGTGTTTTTTGAATATTCAGGTATTGCTCATCCCTGAAGTGTACCGTGTACATGCATTGACTTTTTATTAAAAAAAAACAAGCCATTAAATTATATTTGATTTTACATAAATGGCCTTCTCTCATTTATAATTCCACATTGAACAGTTATCAATTCTTAAAAAAAAAATGTTTACAGACTTTATGTAAAAATGTAGTCGAAAAAAACATGAAAAAGTCTTATAGTTAACCATGGTCGAAAGACAAATTCCTTGATTTTTTTTTTCCTCGGTGGGGGGACGGGGGGAGAGGGAAAAAAAAAAGGACCCTTAATCAAAGAAATGTAAAGAGAATTTCACCCCAAAAAAATGTAAAAAGAAAATCACATATATTAATAAAGTTACAGTCCATGTCAAGTATTCCTTGTTTTCTAATTTATAAAATAATTTTAAATAAAATTATATATATTAATAAAGGTTTTTTTTGTCAACATTTATAAAGCTCATTAAATATATTCTATAGTTTTTATTTTTTAAATATAAATATAAATTTTTAAAAATATTTTTATTTAATATTTTTTATAAAAAAATATTAAAAAGAGACAATATAATTAAAAGAGTAATATTAAAAAAAAACTTCATTAAATGAACATATTCAAGAAGCTAATCAGAAAAGTTTGGCAGGCAATCCAAGTCCAGAGTTCACAGATGCGGCAGTATAGCCAGGAGGCTGGACAAATAATGATACTTTATTTTGACCATAACTATCGCACAAGTTACATGAGTCCATGACCAACCACGCCACAGGTATATCAGCCTCACACAGCTAATTGGGTTTGTGAAGTTCCGATAAGAGCGGGAGAAGAATTGTTGAAGCGAGACACATCACACACCATCGTCCATGAACAGCATTAACGGCGCCTTCACCCTTTCCCACTGCATTCAGGAGCACATGTACATTTTTACTGGAGAAATGCAAACACACGAAGAATATTCTCTTACAAGTAAACTGTAAACAGAATATGAAACAGGTTTCCTCCACAGCAATCTCAAAATTTGACGCGAACGAAATCCTTCATAAATATGAACGAAAAGCTCCACCACGCATTCCAATTCCGCGCTAGCATAATAATTAGCATGTTTTTAAAATCACGCCCAACCATGGCCTCCGAGGGGAACTGCCCAATCCTCAAGCCCAGAATAATCTGGGCTGCCACCTGCAATCCGCCTAGACTGCGGGCGACTCCCATTGAGTTTTGGGCTTGGGCTCCTCGGGAACTTGTGATTGGACGTTCCTCCTCCAGAGCTTGAAGAGTCACAGACCGACCCAATTCCAGGGCCTCTTTTTGTGGATGAGTTCCACTGGGGCCCAGGAGAGCCATTCGGCCTGATCGGGACTTGACCTCTCACCTTGGCTTTTGCAGACTGGGTTGGAGCCATAAAGCTTGGCACGTTTAGGCTGAATTGTCGATGGTGTTTTCTATTGGACATTGCTCTTGGATCGAGAAACTCCTGGTTCATTAGGCCCATGGCGCTGACGTTACTTGAGCCTAAGGGTGCGACCATGTCCATCTCCACCGTCTTTTCAGACATGTCGTCGTCGGTGGTGGTGGTTGTTGTGGCAAGGGTCATGTAAGATGTCTCGCGTGGCCCCGCGTGCCTAACATTGTACGGTTGTGATGACATCCAACGCTCCAACCAGTTCCAACCCCACGGGGCCTTTTCACGCGCGTTGTTGTAATTGAAGGTTCCATCATCATCGTCATTCGGGTCTGAGTGCAGAAATGGCTTCTGCTGTTGCTGCAAGGAGCAAACAGATATAGTTTTAGAGCAAAAAAGAAGATAAGATTCGGTGCTCTTGCAAGCATTAAACGGAAATTCCCTGACCTGACCGTTGAGAGCGTAGGCAAGAGCTCTTTCCCTCTTCATTACGGCTTCGTGTCTCCTGGCATCATTTTCCTGGATTTTGTGGCTGCTGTGACGCCTATTGTCCCACCTGTTCATGTCAATTCTTTTCATGGGACTCATAGGCTTTGGCACCTGTTGCTCAAGTTCTCTCTCCTCGCAATACTCGTCCTCTGTCTTCTGAAGCTGCTCTTGGGTCAACTGGAATCGGCGAGCTCTCACTCTTGCCTGTACTCGAACCAATGCTTGCATACACCGCATTGTCATTTGCGCTTGCTTCCGCACATTATGGCCCCTCACAAGTGCTTGCAGCCTCACCAATCCTTTCAAGGCACGCAGAGCGCGTCGAGCCTACAGATTTTGATTTCATCGCCCCGAAGTCAGGCGCATCGATCAGAATAACATGTTTATATATATATATATATATATATATATTTAAAAAACACTGGGTATATAGGTGATCCGCACAGAAGCAGAACCAGGGAACCGCGAGGTTACAAGGCGACGCAAAAAAAAAAAAAAAAAAGACAGAAGGATGCGAAGCGATCTCTGACAGTTTGTGTTACGAACTACCTAGCAAAGAAATGAGTTAACAGAATGCGCACGTATAAAGAAAAGAAAGCGAGAAAGTCTTACTAAGTAGCCTCTGTAGTATGATTGAATGAGAGTTGCTGCTCTTTCTTCCTTAGTGTGGCGACCATAGCCTGCCAATCGAACAACTCTTGCCGCTGCTTGAGCCGCTGCAACTGCAGCTTCTGCAGCCGCAGCCGTGGCTGCAGCCACGACGATGGCATGATTTCTATCTTCAGTCACCGGCGTGGATGTGATACTATTCTCATTGGTGACGTCGTCATGAGAACTTTCCGCGGGAAAATGCTCAAAAGACACGACCTCTGCCACTTCAGGCTGCCTTCTCTCGTTATCCTTCTGAAAACCAAGCACTTGCCGGCATTCAGCTCCCAATTATTCAGCAATCATTTGGAATATTATAGAACAAAAAAACATCAAACAGAATGTGTTAAGATGATTGGGATCTAACAGAGGAACCACATGATGATCAAGGATTCCACCAGATGAATGATGTGATGGGGTGGGTGGCATGATAGCTGTGTGACGTGGTTCCAAGCATAATTATTTGATACATATTGACATAACAGTGGACCATACATACATATGATTATTACTTCCAGTATAGGGTTCATGGTCCTAATTACAGAGAAAGTACCAGGCAGCTCAGCATTTATGTGAAAGCGCACAAGAGACAACACAAACAACTAAGATGTTCACTTGCTCAAGGTCCGATGAAGAAAGTAGTCTTGAATGGGTGAGGTAGAGTTTGATGATACCATTATTTCTTGCTGCGGAATATCAATTTGTGATGTTTTTTTTTTTTTCTGTGGGGTTTGTTAATTTTGGGGGAGATGGGTTAGCCGGCAATTGTAATCGATAATAAAGAAAGATGTAATCTGAGCAATCGGTGAGAAAATGCTTCATATGGAGGTCTGATCGAAATCGTACTGAGTCATAAAGATATATATGTCCATCAGCCCATCTTCCTATATATTAATATCGATGCCAAATTTGACATGAGTGATTAATGGATTTACGCGTTATTCAAGCTGTAAAAAAATCCTATTTACGGCCGATCCCTCCGTTAATCTCAAGTATTTACCATCTTTCAGGTCTCAATAAGGAGGAATGTCACAAGTCACTGATAAAAAATGATAATTAAAGTTAAGAACTATATGCAAAACAGGGGAATAATCACCTTCCTCGCCGCCGCCGACGAGTCCTTAGAAGACGATTTGAAAACTTTCTTCACTGACGAGAACCAACCGCCTCCTCTCTTCCCCATCTCCGGCGAGAAGATCGGCCTCTTGATACCATCATTTATATTACAAATTCATCCATGTCAAGACTCGAAATATACATTCTCAGAAACCTTAAAATGTCTAACACACGTTACCATATGCTAACATATCAATGTCACTAAATTTCACGCCCACTCATCAATCTTAGACGGACAAAAGGAGGAAGATGAGCTCTGAAACAAACCTGATATGAATACGGTGTTTTGGATCACTTGGGTGGAGCCTTTACATAGTGCGTGCAGCATGTCTGAGAATCGTCCCGAAGTGAAGTTTGGTCATTTGAGAGAATGCTTCCACGGCGATAAGCGGAGAGAGAAATCAATAACTGTAAGCCCGCGCAGTCGCCGTTGGCATTTATTACATTCACGGACGTTAGAGAATGTTATACTCCGCAGGAGAGGCCTTTGGACAAATAGAATTCGGACACGTCAGCATACTCGCTTCCAGATGTCTTACTGTGTGGTGGAAAAAAATCTTGTACGTCTTCGGGGGACGCATGACTATGATTTATTGCGACATACAAGCATTTTGTACCATAACACCTACGTATTAAATTCTGCTTACACACACAATCATTTTTTCAATTTTTTTTTTTGTGAGTTCTACCATGTAGCATATTTTATGTTTGGGAGAATTTCATTGAAGTATGAAGAATGTGACGTTACCACAAATGAAGTCCAAATAAATCTGAAATTTTACTACAGGAATTTGGGCATAAAATGAAATTAAAATATAAGATAAAATGACTGAAATAATCTTCTAAAATTTACGTATTAATTTCTTATAGTTACTTGTTAAAATTTTTATTTTATATGTTAATTCCTTGACATTACCCAATCACTTATTATTAACTCAATTACCGTACTTGTTTAACATGCAATATTACTTGATAATTGTCCATAATTACTTGTCAAAATATTTACTTTGCATGTTAATTCTAACATTACTTCACAACTTGTTAACTCAATTATTGTACTTAGTAAACAGGGAAATGTTACTCGTTAATTTCCTACAGTTACTTGTTAAAATATTTACCTTACATGTTAAGAAGGTTATTTTAGTCATTTTAGCTTATATTTTAAGTTCAATTCAGATTTAAATTCATGCAGTGAAATTTTAAATTTATTTGGGTCTCATTTTTAATAATCTCTCATCCATTGTCTTTTAATAAAATTCTTCTTTTATTTTTCTCCCCTCTTATATTTCGATTCGATTTAATGTGGAAACTGGAAAGGATATGTGCCAGTGTAGGTGAGGAAGTGGTGGAGTATATAATTATGTGATAAGTGGCGTGGATGACAAACCTTTAATTAGTTGAGCTCAAGCTTTCAGAAGGTTAGAAAAAGAAAAAGATTGGGTTAAGTTTTAGCTTGAACGTTACTAAAGAGCGGCAGTTAGCAAATTTATATCGTTGGGTACTTGCGAGTTACCACGCAATTTTTCTTTTGCCAGTCGTTGAATAATGAGATATCTCAACTCGTGAGGGGAAGTTTGCACTTCATTGTTTTGATGTTCTATTAATATATCTTTTACTCTACGAATTTTCTATTTTTTAACTCTGATTAATTAACAATTCAATCATTACAATTTATTGGCTTGAGGAATTGTAAAATTGAGTTGCTTAAAGGCCATGTAAACGTTAAGTTGTTAAGCCAACGGAACATAAAGAACTAAATCATTTTGAGTCAATATATATATATTTATATATAAAGATTGAATTGTTGCAGAACAAAATTCAATAATTAAATTGATAATTGTAATAAACATTTTTTTATGATCACAGGGCATTACTTTTCCCTTAATTATTTAAGCATGAGCGTTTGGTATCCTATTTTTTTTATGTAATATTTTCCTTTGATGTTTACAAATTGTATAATTTTGACCTCGTACCCTTTAACATGTTTTGGTGTAATTTTGATGTCATTATGTGTCATTTTATGGATCAATTGAGGATCAAACTTAATCTTTGTAACATAATAAGAGCAGAATTGCACAATTTTTAAATGTCAAATAGATTATTACACTGTAAAAAATTTAGAATATCGAACAGTGATGTACAAATAATTGAAAGATAAAAATATGATTTAACCAATTATAATTTAGAAATAGGAGAGATTTGATATAGTTTTTAACTTGTTATATAATGCATTTCTCCTTATCTAAAATATAAGACACTTTTATAACTAACTTAATAAGATTTAGAAAAGTAGTTAAAAGTACTTTGAATTGTTAAATTGATAAAAGAATAAATAATCACAACTCTTGAAGATTATTCTCCATTTAAAATCAACATATTTTAATTACCTTTAATAATGTTTATATAACCTCTCTACAACATAATTAGTAAGTACATTTGCGTAAAATAAGAAATTAATGTTATTATATAATTTCATTTATAGTATCATATAATTTGGACTGATATTAACTAACAGAAAATATCCTATATTTTATTTTATATAAGGGAAAATATTGACGAAGATTGAACGAGCTGGGATTCTTGTTGGATCGAACCTAATCAATGGCAACGGAGTGAGGGACATGAAAATCGTGGAGTGAGGGACGAAACTCGAAAAGCAACAAGAGGGGTTTACAGTAAGGATTAGGGATGGCTTGAGTGATCAGCCAACCACGAAAACTGAGGAGGTCACGTGCTACGTGTTATGTACTACTTTAATCTTATTTATAAAGCAAAAATAATGTTAATTTTAATTCTATGCATAAGGTATTACATTATTTTTTTAGTCATTTTTAAATTTTTATTTTTATTAAATGTTGAAAAAATATTTAAAATATTTTTTTGTTTTTGTTAGAGAATAAAGATAAAAATTTATTAAATTTTAAAACAGTTAATGAAATTAAAAATTTTGTATGATTTTAATAAAATATGTTAAAAATAATTTATAAATAAAATTGGATGGAGCATGTAATTAATAGCGGGCTTGTCTATTTTAGCCTGTTTCGGTATTTCCATCTATGGGTCCCTCGCCTCACTGCAGAATGTCGCGATGACGGTCCTGTAATCGTAATTTATTCACATGGCTGCTGACGGCAAAACGAGTCAACAGTTTTACACTCCACGCCATGGGGTTTTGATAATTAATTTATAAAAATCAAGAAAATATATAGAAATATGTGTTATTTTTCTTAAAATAATATTCTTTAATCATCTACATTGAAAAATCCTCTGATCGATAAGATCCCTTTCAATGCATACAAACAATGAGAATAGATTAATAAAAAATTATAACCTTAGAAGATAAAATCGACTGGGACTTTTCATTTAAAATCAAAGCAACCCTGTATTATTAGTAATATTATATACTACATGTACAAGTATGCATGTTGTAAGATAGAATATGCAATGCAACTTTAATTTTAAAGATCCTCTGATTCCGCAGCAAGAGAATGCCAAGTATTCCTTGGATGAGTGGTTATTTTACAAGTCCACTTGCACGTATCAAGTTCAATGATGCGTTGACTGCGAGTCATTAAAAGAACACATGTTTCCTGTGAAGGAGGAATCCAGGAGATTGGAAGGTGCAGTTGGAGGTCACAAGGGTTGTACTCTTTGTTTTTGAGATATGGATGTGATCCTTTCATTCAGAGGAGGCACGGGCAAGTGGTTATTGCAGTGGTGGTGGATCTATCCAATTGAAAATGGGGGGGGGGGGGGGGGGCATCAATTCACGTTTTGAGAAGGAGCGTGTGGATTCATTTCTGATGATTAGGCCCTTCCATCATCATAAATATCTTACTTATCACTGCTTCTGCGTTTAAAGAATTAATGAGATTGCTATAATTGTATGTTTGCGTGAATTTGGTAAAGTAGGGCAGAATATTCATACTCATATTTCGTTAGTCACGTAATTTAGGATATTTTTTGTCACCGCAAAGCCGAGGGTGCAATTGGGATGAGGGATGCATAACTGCCCCTTTGTTGAACAGACGCTTAATTCTTTTATTTCTGTCACAAAACAGTGAGACGGTCTGCTTTTAATTTGCTGGTCAAAAGACACGAAACAGGGTGCTCAGCTACTGAATGTAATCATAGTCCATTAATGTTACTTTACATTTAATTAAGGTTTGGAACAACCAACTTCGTGGAGTGACCGGAGACTACCTGGCACGTTTCCTAAACAAGTGAGGAGAAAAAACGATATTATTCTTACTCTTTCCACTTATAACGCTTACTTTTCAGTAGTTATTATTTGTTAGTCATATATTTCCTCCATCTTGTTTACAAAGCCACCTTATAGAATGAATTGGTGATCCTTTTTCTAGGTTATTTTACACAACAACAAAAAAAAAGGTGGTTGATTACTTTGAGTGTGGTATCAACTATCAGCCTCCAACTGTTGCTCCAGTGGGTGATCCTGCAAAGGTGTGAAGGGCTGTGTTACTGAGGTTTTCTTAAGCACTGGTACATTCGGGGGGTGGAAGAAGGTGCCCTGCATTAGAGAAGGATTTGTGAGGAGGTCAGTGCAGAGGTTGCAAAAGATGGGGAAAGTGACGAGGGAGATGAGTATTAATTTTGCCCTGCCGTCTCTACGCATTTTTATTTCCCATTAACTTTATGTGGTGCTACTTCTACTTTCGTTGTTTGTTCGTGTTCTTTTTTGGGAGAGATTAATGATCTTGTAACAACACACAAAAATGAGGTGATATTTCGTATGTCTTGTCACCTAAGAAATGTCCAAAATTTAAAAAGAGACCCATATACAAATGGCCCAAAATCGTACTAGAAAAATATGCTTTTTTTCAACAAAAAGAAAATGATTCTAAAAGAAGGGAAAAATGCGGAGACCACGGAGAAAAAATGCTAAGCAGTAAGCACTCATAACTTGTCTGGATATTGTTGTTAATTTTTTCTATAAAATTGAGTTTATTTATTTAATTTTTTTAGTTATAACATGTGCATTTGGAAACTTTAACAATTTAAATTTATTTGTTTATGTTTATTGTAAGAAAATAATTTTTTCCACAAAACAAATCAATCTAAACCATTTATTATTTATTATTTCATCAACAAGTTTAAAACTCAAATTAATCGATTAATTAAAATTTCATGATACTTAAACTTTTTTTAAATGGAATCTTAAATTTTTATCATAAAATAAATAAACAATATTTAAAATAAGATTAAATAAAAGTTATAAAGTATACAGAAATATGAGTTTCAACACCCTTTAATTACACACAAACTCTACAGCTAGAAGGTGCAAAGATTTTGACTTGAGGTGTAAAGGCTTTGACTTAGGTGTAAGACTTCTAGCTTAATGTGCAAGGAATATGGCTCAGGGTGCAAGCGATATGGCTTTAGGTGTAAGGCTTTTGGCTTTGGTGCAAGGATTTTGACTTAGGATGTACTTGTTATGGCTTAAAGTGCGAGGATTCTAACTTAGGTGTAAGAGAGATGCTTAAGGTACATGGCTTCTAGTTTAAGATGCACGTGTTATGGATTAAGGTGCAATACTTTTAGCCTAGGTTACAAGAGTCATGGCTTGTGTTATAACAACAAGATTTATATGTAATTCATACTCGTTTTAATGTAATTTTGCAACATTGACAGGGTCATGGTCTCCATGTGTTTGACATACATGTAATTTGCTAGAGATTACATATAAATTATTTCTCAATCATGCTTATGAGTTTCTTCACATATTAATCTACATGTAATCCGTAGTTGTTTTCATGTAATTCTAAGGCACTGATAAAGGCATGCTTTCTATATGTTCGGTTTGCATATAATTCGCTAGAGATTATATGTAAATCATTCTTCAATCATACTTGCGAGTTTCTTCACAAATTAATTTACACATAATCTGTAGTCATTTTATGTAATTATGGGGCATTAACGTAGACATGCTCTCTGTGTGTTTGATTTACATGTAATATGCTAGAAATTGCATGCAAATTATTCCTCAGGCATGCTTGCAAATTCTTCTCTCATATTGATTTACATATAATTAGTTGTCGTTTTGATGTAACTATAGAGTTGTTGACAGTGCCATACTCTTTGTGTATTGGATCTACATGTAATATATAAGATAATACATGTAATTGTCACACTGACAAGTGATGATTCAACAACTTTACCTAAATGATAACTAAATTTTCAATGAAAAACAAGTAAATATCTAAGGGGACCATGAACAATAAAAATATGAAAGAAACAACAATAATTCAATTAGTTTAGATGTATCATTATCTCAAGTACAAACTAAATGATAAACAAAGATCATAAGGCATCTCAAATAAAAAAAATATTATGTGGGTAAGAACAACATCATGTTCATGTTAAATTACATCCAATCCTATTTTAAAAAAAACATGAGAACGCTCACAATAAGTTCTTTCTTTTTGAAGTATTGTACATCATATAGCAAGCCATATTAACTTGTAAAAGATGCTGATTCAACGATATAACATGGAGGACAACTAATTGCCTTACAAAATGAGTAAATATGAAGAGTGAGAATGAATAATAATAATTTAAATGAAAGAACATTAATTCCATTAGGTTTGATTTATCTTTTTGTCAAATAAAATCAAAATAATAAACAAAGACTATAAGGCACCTCGTATTAAAAAAACACCATAGGGGTTAAGAATGATATCGTGCCCATATTAAATTACATTCTATCCTATACAAAAAATAAACAAAAGGGACAATCATGAGTACACTTCAAAATACAATCATAATTTCATTTAATCATTTAAGGGAATCCTTAATTAGCATTTCCTTATAGCTCACTTGATTTATGACATGCATGGGTTGAATTTGTAAGAGCTTCTTGACTTGAACTTATTTTTTTTCATCTTTAAACAAAATTTTATTTTACCTCTCAACCAGATCCTTTCTAGCATCTATGGCCATGAATGCATGTTCTATATTTGTAGCATCCTTTGTACTTGTTTCCAAAAATAGCATACAATACAAGGAGTGGCGGGTTTTGCTAAACAAGGAATTATGCAGGAAACTACTTTAAGTGTTAGTTTAAAATTTTAATAATTATATTAACTACAATTATTCCCAATAGCTTGAAGGAATAGTAATTCCCAACTTATAATTCTAAGGAAGAAAAGGACTACAATATTAAATTGAGTGTTTACTTTATTAAGTAGAAGTGGGGTTTTAAGGTAAAAATGCTCATCGAGTCTAACAAATTCACATGACTATAAAAGGTTGGTGACAAACATGAGCCACCCATAAGCACATTGAAAGGAGAAGTAAAAGCAAAACATTGACCAATTTTAAAGATGACTAGTTAACTTGAGTTGATGAAGCTAGAGTTATTGAAAAGATTATAAGGCTACTCATTTGTTCTCTATTTTTTGCTATACTCCTAGTTGATCATATCATATCATTCACCATCCACGCAAACATTAACTATGTTCAGTAGAAAGTAAAAAACTGTTTAATGATGAAAGTGTAAAGTTTCATCGATTCATATCATTGTTACCTAGCAGGGATGCAGATTGAGCAAGTTTAAATATCTGTTCAAAGTTATGCTACCCAATTACTTCTTTATCAAATATGGCACCTGATAAGACCACTGATGATGCTCTTTGCCAAATATACTCTCCAATTGAATCTACAATCATTTAGAAAGGTCATTTGTAGTATACACTCATGGAATATGATAGCAAATTGATACATTGATTAAAATGCATGCATTTGTTCCTGTTTATATATAGATATTAGTCAAAATATGCTATGAAGAGCTTCTTTGATAATGTTATATATATACTTACACGGTCACAACCGATGAGTATTTGTTCACAAATAAAAAAAAAACTCAACTCATATGCAATGAAGATTTAAACACATGCCACAAGGAGCTCATTTCACAATCATAAACAATTACAGAGCACTTGGATTTTTCAAACTCAATTTCATTCATTATAGATAGACAAAATGCTAGATAAGCATGGCACTAAAAAATGCATAAGCTTTAAGAGAAGAACCAAAAAACAAACCTGAGCTTTGTACTTTGCTCGGTGACATAAAGAAAAGGGTAAGGACCACTATGCGCTGCAATGCTCCACAGCACCTTGGAGAATAATGTTCCCTTACTTGTCTAGACAATGAAATCCACCCAAGAAGAACCTCCCTTAATGCCCACAAGTATCCAACAGAATAGAAACTTCTTTTTCTAGTTGACCCAATTTGATTTGGTTTACTTATGACCATCTGAGTCTAAGCTATTCTCTTAAACTAGAGCTAGATGTTATTGCATTTCTCGTTTCATCTTTTAGATCTTGAGTGAAAGTCTCTTGCCATCACAACCACGCTCAACTTTTTCTCCTTGATCATTTCTTTGGTTCTTCGATTAGGAATTGTTTCTCTAATTCAATCTCCATCCATGCTGCACGAAAAATTCAATGATGCTTAGATATTAGTTTTAGAGAAGAGTTTTTTAAAAGAGGAGTCCCACAATCATGGTGACACAGTTGAATGTGAAAAGATGAAAGATTCAAGTTGCAACTCACGTCAACGGCCATGTATCGTCTCCAATTTACTGTATTTTTTTCTCCTAACAACAAACGATATTTTGATCCATCCACCTCATCCTTTTTTTTAACATTAAAACGAGTTTGGTCTTTCAGTTATATTTGGTCTCCAGGTATAATTTCTCTTTCACTCATGTCCTTTTTACCAATTCTCCTTTAGTTGTATCTTCTTGCGAGAGGAGTATTTCCGAGCTCATTTTTCGGCGCCAGGATTTCCGTTCCGGTTAAAAATCGCATGATCCTCCCATCCGCTAGCCGCAAAATACTAAATTACTAATAAACAAAGGCGCAAAGCGGTGAGTTGTATCCCCAAATCAAACATAGTGCCAGTGGCGACTTGAGTGTGTGGGTGTGAAATTGCATGGTCTGCAGAGGGAGTGACAGTCCGACAGAGGAACAGCCCCTCAAACTCAGACTTTGATGAAATGTTTCAACCCAGCAGACAGGTTAATTCCTTCCCCTGCGCGCCTCTCCACCTTTATCATATCTCTTGCTTGGTATCTTTGAACTGCTACAGTCTTTTGCGTGCGGGGGAGTCCAGTTCGCAACGATCAATTTTTATTTTTCGTCTTCTTTTTACTGCATTTGTCACTCATTCCTTTTTACAATCCATCCCCCTTCCTCCATTGTCAGAAATTATCGAAACCCTCAATTACTCGAATCAGAGCCTCCATTGTCAGTTCTTCCTTATGCGTTTGTTTATTATCCTTTTATTTTTAATTTCAGTTGACTTCATGAGTTACGGGACACGAAAACGAGTTTTTGGTCCTTTGAACTATTTCTGGAAGAATTTTGTTCGACAATGCCCGATGTAAATGGTATTTCGATGCTCAATGTGTGTTCCCCGCGTCCCATAACAAATCAAGGAATTAGAGTCATTTACGTTAGACTAATATTGTGATGCTCTGCTATTTGTTATACGAGAGAGCTATTTTGATAAATTTTTGGATGAATTGTTTATTTCATGTGTTCTGGGTTGCATCAAAATGTCTGATAGGCGTAAAAGATTTTTGGTCACTTTGTCACTGACAGCATCAAAATGAGTTGGCATTGTATGCTGCATTAATGTTGTGTAGCATACTGTTATAAGTTACAACATGTATGTTAGTTGTCATTTATCATCTATTCTCATCGCCACATGTGCATATTTTCATATACTATAATATCTGTTCTTTTCTTTCTGCAAGCTTTCTCTGCTAATAGTTAATTTATTCAAACACCTCAATTATTCCTCTATTGACCCAGCAGAGATGACCTGATAGAATTTGATCTAGTGGCCTTACATTTACGGGTGCTGGTCTTTCAATCAACAGAGCAAAATTTCATTGCTCCGTACTTCTGTATCCAATAAAAGAAAGGAAAGGGCAGGGAAGAAATTAGCCTTCCTGTTCACACAAGACATTGTCCCATTATACTTTTTTTTTTAAAAAAGGACGTTGTCCAATAATTTATGGTTTAGTGTCTCTGCTTCTCTTTTTCTGGATACTTAACATATACTTATTCATTTAGTTTGATGGACAGTCTGTTTCGTCAGCCTTGTTGCCTGTGGATTTAAATGAAACCTCTATAGATGCACAGGGCAATGAGCTGAATGGTGGATTCATACAGGCAGAGTCCATAATCTGAAATTCCCAGGCTGCGATTTTTATTTTTTAAAAATTTTGTGTTGTTGAATCTGTCAATTGGAATGAAATTTTTTCTGTATTGAATGATTGTTTGTTTCTCAATTAGCTTCATTTTACTTTATGACAAGCATGCCTATCTATCATGTCTCTTGATTTTAGTTGAGTGTTGATGGGTGATGCAAACTTACCACTCATTATGCAATGCTTGCAGAAACTTCAAGATGGTTTACAAATGTTAGGGATGAAAATTAAGCACCATGAAGGCAACCTAAATCTTTTGAATACTCAAAAAACTAAACTAGATGATTCTATTCTTGGTTTGCAAGGTACATTCAAAATTACCTTTGAAGGCGTTTTCTATCTTTGCTTGGCACTCTGATAATGGATTGGGTAATCTAAATGGATGAGATGCTAGTTATCATGAGCACTCTAATGGTGTACAGACTGATTTAGAGTTGGTAAATTTTTATGACAATGGCATCTGGATTTGTTTGAGGTGCCACCCAAAATGGTAGCATCCTATGTCTCCATGCATGTTGGATGGCTTTAGGTATTTTGGGTAGTAGATTACCAAATGCATGCATCTTGGAAGCATCTTGACATCCATGGTACCATAACAAAGATGATAGTGTCACAAATGGCTACCAAGCGTTGTTTGTTTAAAAAAAAGGATTGCAATAAACTTTCCATATATATATATATATATATTTGGTTAATGAAGAGCTATTTTCTTGTGTGTGGTGTTTACCATGTTAATAGATATTTTTGAGAAATATAAATCATCAAGTATGCCCAAGAATTGCAAAGCGGACAATTTGCAGCCAACAAGTGAGGAGGCAATAAATGAACAGATATTGCAACTTAAAAAATCTGCTGCTGGTATATTACGCCAGCTGAAAACTTATCACGGGACTCAAGCATCTAATCTTTCATTGATAAAGGATATTGTGGGTATTGTTGCTACCCTGGGAAAAGTTGAGGATGATAACCTTAGCAGGTATGTTTGGTCTACATATTCACTCTCTGGCTTGTAAAACAATGCGGATATTCAAAACTTGTTGTCTCTTTGCAATCAATGGCATTTATTTAAAGAATATGAAAAGTAACTTGATTCTCTGAATTGCTTATAGTGCTTGAATCTTATGAAATATGTAAGCATGCATGCTATTGCTTTACTATACTTGGAAATTGGAATGCAGGCTTTTCTCAGAGTATCTAGGAGTAGAGACTATGCTGGCAATTGTCTGTAAGACTTATGAAGGAGTTAAAGCTCTTGAAATTTTTGACAATGATGGCTGCATAGACAAGAGTTCTGGTCTTCATGGGCTAGGTGCCTCAATTGGAATGGCCTTGGATGGTCGTTTTTCAGTGATATGTCTGGAATCTCTCAGGCATGACTTCATGATCTTTGTATTTAGTCTTTAATTTGTGACATCATTGAATTTCCTAAAATACTGTTGTTTTTGACTATTTCCCTTCCCCTTTTGTAGGCCATACGCTGGTAAATTTGTGCTTGATGACCCGCAGAAAAGGCTGGACATTTTAAACCCAAGATTACCCAATGGAGAGTGTCCAGTTGGGTTTCTTGGCTTTGCTGTAAATATGATAAATATAGACGGCTCAAACTTATTTTGTGTAATTCCCAATGGTTATGGTCTCAGAGAAACTTTGTTTTATAGTCTCTTTTCACGTTTGCAAGTATATCAAACGAGGGCGAAAATGATACAAGCACTTCCTTGCATAAGTGACGGAGCTCTTTCTTTAGATGGAGGAATGGTTAGGACTAGTGGTGTATTTTCCTTGGGCAACAGGTAAGGGGATGCATGGGAAATTTATTTTAGTTTATACATCAGATATTTTCTATGGTTCGAGCAGTGGCTCTGGTAATTATTGTAGCTGACAAGAGTAGAGCTGTCCATGATGAATGCTAACTATTTCAGTGAATCGTCTCTATTACTGGGTGTTAAATACTGAAAAATATATCTACCATTGTTGTCGGCCAACATTGAGCCTCAATGGTTAGACGTTGGACATGGTAATTTGGTCTTGTAGGTTCTTCCTTTGATATCTGATTTTTGTGTTTACTGGCGAGAAATTGTTTTCCGTTCTTTAAACCAGTTCTTCTTCTTCTTCTTTTTTAACTTCCAGACTAAGCTTGATTCTTGTGGCTTCGTAATGCTCTTTTTTGTTGTTTGTCTTGAAGGATGAATTCATTTAATATTCATGCCCCAAAAAGTTATATTGAACTATTTAAAGTAGTTGCCAGTTCAAAATAATCATAACTCACTAGTTTTTCTTATTTTATTTTTGGGTCGTGGGTGGGGCTTGTTTCCATGATGTTAGGGAAGATGTAGATGTCAAGTTCCCCAGCCCAGCGGAGCTTGGTAACTACAATGAAATTGAGAGGCAAATGAAGGATTTGAAAGCGGAGAAGGACAAGATTCTGCGGGACATGAAAGGGAACAGAGTTTGTTGGACGCAGCAAAGTTCAATTTCAATAAAAAAAAGAATGAGTTTCTGAAGTTTTTAGCAGAAAGTTCATCATATGCAACTCAGGTAAATGCCCCAGTGATACCTCTTAACTGAGTGTGTGAAAGGGCTTATTTTGTCTGAAGATCGGAATCCGTATCCTAGGTCATGCATGAGAAGTTATATGTTGAAAAGTTGAATAAATGAATATAAAATATATTATAAATTTACTCAATTGTTGATATTTAATTATTTTCGAAGTTATGATTGTGTTTTTTCGATGTTCTGTTACTCTGAGAGAAGTCGGACAACTATAGATCTTTTCCCTCAGGATTTGCTTCTTCTTTTCGTTAAAGCGCACTCTAAATTGCTTACCATGGGGATTTTAATGATGAACAAGAATCTTACTGATTAAGTGATCAACATATCCTGAATTTGAAATGCTTGGCTTTTCAAATTTTGCAATGGGGATTTTAATGATCCACTAGAGTCTCTAAATGGTGAAGTTATGAGTATTCTGAATCTGACATGCATGGCTGTTCCAACTCCGCTATGCGGTTCTTGATGATAATCAATGAGATTCTCTTTCTGGAAACTCAATGACAAGTGGAAAAAATTAATTAAATCATATTTGTTTTACATCATCCACTCAAGTATGCATCACTGTAGTTCGCATACGTAACCGTGTCAAATGCGGGAGCTTTGCATGTGTTGCGGACGGAATTGTAATGTGGCTATTGTTTGGGTCTGCTCGTGTTTGTTTTTTTTTTTAAAAAAAGAGAAAGTGGAACGGCCCCAATTGATGTGTGAAGTGTTTGGAAAGTTTTTTTCACGCTTGCACTTCTTCCTTTGCCGCTGCTGCTTTAAAATATGCTTTCTGTTGTTGTTTTAAAATATGCTTTCTGTCTGTCTGTCTCTCTCTCTCTCTCTCTTTCGAGGGCATCGAATCCTCCTATGAGTTCTACTTTCGTAATCAACTTGTTCTAATGTTTGAATTTTTTAAGAAAAACATAATTTTTGGGTTCTAATATGTATTTAATCATCAATTTAATTTATTATAACTCAGTTATTGTAACTTATTGAATTAAATAATTATAGAGATTGATTTGTTTGAGACAAAATTTAAGGATGGAATCGAGAATTTAAAAAAAAATTAAGAATTAAAATTTATATTATTCTAAAATTCTATTTTATTATATCTTCTCATTTTTTGACTTCCCTATAATTATCAGGTTCAGACCACTCCCGCTAAACTCATCTAAACGATGAAGAAGCTCGCCATGGAGTGATGAGTGATGGAGCCTCTATGTGGCAGCGCGGGTCTGTAGTGAGCTTATGCCTCAAATTTAGCAAAATTCATTGCAGCCATTCATTATTAACTTGTGGAGTGGAGTGTGGATAAGCTTGACGGCAGGATTTTTTTGGGGGTGTTATTTAGGCTCATGCACAACTAAGTGGGGGGCGCTGCGATGAGATACTCGTCTTGTGTCACCGTTTCAGTCGTTGTAAAAAATATATATATTTAAAAATTAGCCCGATTCTATTGACAGATGAGTACTGCAAAAATTAATCAAAATTTGTCAACCTAGTATAAACTAGAACGTAAGTGCTTATTAAGCGTTTTTGGATTTAGATGCACATTTTGATTTTGATAAGTTGTCGAAGTCTAAGTCATTTAATTTTTTTTATAAAAAAATGTGTGTGATATTACAATAGATTCGTGGCAAAGAGAAAAAAAAAATAGAAATAATCGACCAAAAAAAGTTTAGACCTGGAGAATATTTTAGAAAAAATGGTAATAAAATCCTTCTGAAATATACAAATGATAATTTGATCTCTCAAAATATTATAATTCTCTTGAAATTTTTAGATATTTTTTTGTTATTAATAAATTTATATTAATTATTAAATTAAATTTGTTGAAAATAAATGATTCATAAATTTTATTAAAATATTCACAATTCTTTTTTTCATATTCACACTAATATAATGGCAAATAAAGAATTTAACATGTGAAATTGTAATTTATTATTATATTATTGTAAATATAAAAAAAATTTGTGAATATTAAAATAAAATTTATGAATGATTTGTTTTCAATAAAGGTAATTTAGTAATTTATATAAATTTAATAATGATAAAAAAATTATTTAAGATTTTAAAGAGATTATGACATTTTGAAGGATTAAATTATCATTTATATATTTTAAAGAGATTTTATTATTATTTTTTTAATATTTTATGAAATAGTGAGAATCAATTTTCAGAAAAATATATGAAATGTTAGCCCACAGATGACTGAAATTAGAAGGATTCCGGAAAATTGAAATTGGGCAATCTGAATTATAGTTGTATTGTTTTGTTTTGTTTTTTGGCCTGAATGTATTGTTTTGTTATATTATTTATTTTAATTTGATAGAAATCTATACAATAGATGAATAGAATGAAAATAATAACTGAGCTTTTGCATTTATTATTATGTTATAGAATTAAACTAAGTAAATAGCCTAACATTCATTATATTTTGTATCATGATTGGTTTATTATATTTCTTTTATTTAAAAATGTAAAATATTTTTAATTAAATTTTATCCTCAATAAAGTAATTACTTACTTTTCAACTAACTCTATCTTTCTATATTTACCCTTATTAAATATCTTATAATAAATATAAAGTCATTATCAATAGAGATATTTTTGAAAAAAAAAAGATAATGATTATACCTCGAAAGTTTAAAAATATTTTATATTTTTTAACATTCAACTTCTAAAATAATGCCTTATATTTTCAGATGGAGAGAGCATTTGTCAAGGATATACTGTTATATATTAATAATAAATTTATAATAAATAAACTTTTTATATATTAATAATAAATTCTCTATATAACAATATAAACCGACCGTACTTGTAAATTTTCAAAATTTGATTTACATTTTTTTAGGTACAAGGTTTTTTTTTTTTTCCGTCAATGGCCAGTTTATCCAATAATCTTCTAATTATTAAATGAGTAATTTTTGATTGATGGTATGTAATATTTTAATTAAAAATAAAAAATAAAATATCAACTGGTCAAATTAAATTTGTACCGTACTCGTTGGGATAAGATTACCACTGTCTTCTGGAGGAAAAATGAGTTTCAGTGTCGCGGATTCCAGGCAATCTGATGTTCCCTGCTGCGATTTAGATATTCTTGTTCTTTTTTTTTTTTTTTTTTGCTTGATAAATTTAGATATTCTTGTTCTTGCGTTAAGACTTTTTTCGATATTTTCCCATCTTTGTCTTCTTGAAGTCTAATCTATTGCCTTCTCCTAAATGTCCTGCTTTTATCCATGAGACTCTGTGTCGCGGACTTACGACAGGGCAGAGATTTTTTCGCGCGCTTTTCATTTATTTTTCCCTCTTAAGCTTAATTCCAGCTAAACTTCGCCGAATGCTCGCCTCTCACATGGCTGCCATGCTTAGACCCAAACTTTGCAAGGGAACGGCCTCTAAATTCAGATACGTTGTATTCAACCATATGCATGCTAGTCGCATTGTCAATTCTCACTTTACGCACCGAACAAAGTGGAACGAACACTTCATGATCACTCCTGATGACTTCACTTCGTCCAAGGCCGTCTCGCTCGGGGGAGACTTTGTAGAAAACGGCACTCGAATCTTTAGAAAAGCGAGTGAGAAATGGAGTTGCAGGTCTTATTTTACTGTCAGCTCCAATGGAGAGCCACCGGTGCTGTGGTCTGGGGATGGGGTCAATATTAGGATGGGCAACTCGAACTTCAATGAGGCTCGTGGCGACGGCGATGGCGGTGAGAGTCTCGGTTCAGGAGGTGATTCTGGTCCGAATTCTAAGGATGAGTTCTCTGGTGGCTCCAATTTGGGGAGTAATGTTCCGACGCCAAAGAAAATTTGCGAAGGACTCGATAAATTTGTAATTGGGCAGGAGACGGCCAAGAAGGTGACTCTTTCCTCGTTCTGTTTCAACCTTCATGTAGTCTACGATGCAAGCCATACTGGGATCCGTTTGTGTTGGACACAGACGTATTAGATACAACACAATTCTCCAAAGCTATATTGAAATAATGCATACTTTGTCTATGTCGTCGTGGCTTCTATCACGTATCCGATATCGGTGTCGGTGCTTTTAGCAATTAGTATTCTGCCATTTTGAATAGTTTAGTTGCATGTAGGTTTTGCTTTTGTGCTTGAGAGTTTCAGCTATTAGTGATATTTGATTATTATTCACGTGACGTTAGTGGAGTTACTGTTAGTTACATAGAAAGTGGTTATACTATGTCAGCTAGAAATGACCGTGTGGGGCAACATCTGGTTGACTATGTGATAGTTTTGGAGGATGTTAATTTGGATGACCAATGAATGTTGCATTTTATGTCCGATTCTGATATAAATTTCTGTCAGTATTTTCCCTTGGGGATGGTTCATCTATAATGTTGATATAAACGGGACGATGAACTCTTTTTCCCAGAATTTATTTTTCTTAATTACATATATATTTATATATTTCAAATGCAGGTACTTTCTGTGGCCGTTTATAACCACTACAAGAGAATTTATCATGAATCTTCTCAAAAGCAGTTAGTATATTATTTCACTGCCCTACTCTTTCTTTCAAATTTTCCCATTCGTTCTTCTTTCACATGCAGTCTTGGGCGAGATGTTAAACAATAATCTTTTTTCTTTTTTAGCCTTGTTGATAACATGCAGGAATTGTTTTTGACTTGCTCTTGTTACTATTTGCAATGTTAGGCCTGCAGGAGATTCAAGTACTAAAAAGGCTGATGCTGTTGACGAAGAAAAAGTTGAACTTGAGAAAAGCAATATTCTTCTAATGGGGCCAACAGGTTCAGGTAATTCAAATGTTACTTTCCTTAGTTAACGTTAAGTGTATATATAATTGTAGTTCCGGATTATATTTCTCAACATATAATAGAATGTTAAAGCAGTCATGCTTCAATTCAGAAGAGATGAAAAAGCTTCTCAGTCGGTTTCTCAATTGTCCAGTGACATTCTTGTATGAATGAGTTGTTTTGACCCCTTTAGTTTTAAATTGCACTGTCAATGTATCACCTTTCAAGTTAGAGATTTAAGAGATAACAAAGCTAAAAGCCCTTTAGTTTTCAATCTTCTTTTCTTTCGTTAATCATGAATGTCTTGTTACTTCTGGCTACTAGTCTAACTAGTTTATCTGCTCCATTTCAAGGACAGGGAAGACGTTACTTGCCAAAACTTTGGCCCGGTTTGTAAATGTTCCCTTTGTGATTGCTGATGCTACTACAATAACTCAGGCAAGTTAGTGATTCTTCACTTCTATTTTATAATAATTTATGATCCCTTCAAAGACAGACAGAGAGAGAAAGTATTTTCTGTCTGCTTGTGAAGGTTTTTAATGATTGACTATAAAAGAAGCACGTAACACGTTATGGACCTTTTAGCACTCTTCCCCTTTTGTGAATTGAGCAGAGGGTGAGAATTGCTTTAACTTTACTTTCCAACAAAAAGATTATGCACATATTTATGTGATCCCATAGTATCATGTACAAAAAAATCATGCACATAATAAATACGAACAAGTTGTTATAACATGAGATATTTGTCAGAAACAGCAAGTCTCATCAAATGCAAAAAGCCCTGACAGTAAATTGGTTGTGTTAACATTTATTTCTCTGGTCATAAATTCTATTTCCTTTTCTCTTTGTCAATTGGCTGCCATGCTATTTTGTTCATGTAGTTGTATGGACATTATTTTTCATTGGTGCAGGCAGGATATGTGGGGGAAGATGTCGAGTCCATTTTAAGCAAGCTCCTTATGGTAAATATTCTGACCTTCATTATTTAAATACAGCATGCTTGCTTTTTTATTGCATTTCCATATTATGGATGGCAGTAACATTATAGCAATTTTTTTTCAGGTTGCTGACTACAATGTGGAAGCTGCTCAACAGGGCATTGTTTACATTGATGAAGTTGACAAGATTACTAGAAAGGTTCCAGCATGTCTTGTCTTGCCCTCATTTTCCTTTTCTCTGATTAATTCGAACCACTTTCTTCTGTTGTTTTCCCTTCTTCAATTGTCTATTTTCTAGGCTGAGAGCATTAATATCAGTAGAGATGTCTCTGGGGAAGGTGTTCAGCAGGCTTTATTGAAAATACTTGAGGGAACAGTAAGTGCATTCTCACGGATTTGGAAAATTTCAGTCATATTCTTTCCTTTTCTTTTCTGTTTTTTTCTTTTTACATGTCAGTTGAATTTATTGTATACTGATCTATTGCAACCTTTATGATCAAGGTTGTCAATATTCCTGAGAAGGGAGCTCGAAAGCATCCCAGAGGTGACAATATCCAGGTACATGGGCGTTACCCTTTGTTCTTGCCATTATATTTTTTCTTTATTTATACACTTGTAGAGATTATTAGGTATGTTTATGGCACCCGGTACACGTCTGCAGTCATTTTGATATATATATGAGTTCAGTGCTTGACAAATTTTTTTTTTTTTTTATCTATCATTTTCGCCCCAGTTTGTGTATGTGCTTGTGATTTTAATTCTGCAGTTATCTCGCATTGAAGTGTCTTCAACTCATGAACAATTGTTGACTCGTCTTGTTTCCTTCACAGATTGATACAAAGAATATACTTTTCATCTGCGGAGGAGCCTTTGTAGACTTAGAGAAAACAGTCTCAGAAAGGTAGCACAAACCCTGAAAATTAATTAGTTTTATACCTACAGTGAGAATAAAATGAAGTGTGAAGCCTCCTTTTAGTTCCCTGCAGGCGCCGAGATTCTTCTATTGGATTTGGGGCACCTGTACGTGCAAATATGAGAATAGGTGGTGTCACTGATGCCGCTGTTGCATCGTCATTATTGGAAACGGTAAGTTAACATCATGTATATGACACATCGTTCAATGGTTCTTAGTTTTTACTACCACTAACTTCAACAAGTCAGATGTTTGCATGATTGAAATTCTTGTCTTTGGCAGGTTGAAAGTAGTGATCTTATTGCCTATGGTTTAATTCCTGAATTTGTCGGGAGATTTCCTGTTCTTGTCAGCTTGTCATCTTTGACAGAAAATCAACTCATTCAGGTAAGTTATATCCAAGTCACTCATGTTACTCAAGGCTGTCTATACAGATGTACCTGTAAATCTCTTCTGATTTCCAGAAGTTAACGACATTATTTGCTTAAATTATATTCTTAAAAGTGAATTTTTTTCAATATTTTAAATTTCCCCCTTTGTGTCATTATCTGTATGTCTCTAATTGCAGTTGTAATATGCTCTATAGGTCCTCACAAAGCCAAAAAATGCCCTTGGGAAGCAATACAAGAAGATGTTCCAAATGAATGGCGTAAGTTTTTGTGAGCCTTCTCTCATCTGTGGATGATATTGAAAACACAAGCCCTATCTGCATATTCTTTTGTTTATAATTATATCAAGGATCTTTCTTGCTTGTTCATGTTTGTTTTATGGATGGGGTAATTGATTTCTCATTTAAAAAGATTTAATGTTTGTAAAATCTCTTCAGCTGAATATTCCTATTTGTTTTCCAGGTAAAACTGCATTTCACAGAAAATGCCCTAAGATCAATTTCCAGAAAAGCAATATCAAAAAATACTGGTGCTCGAGGCTTGCGGTCAATATTGGAGATAGTATTAGTAGATGCCATGTATGAGGTATGCCATGTTGATTTTAATTTTAAATAATACCTTAATCTTCGCGTCCTGTGGACTGTGGGGGGTGGATATTATTGACAACTTGATAATAAACTTGCCACAATGGGTAAACTTTTTGGAAAAGCATCAGTCGCACTCTTTTTTTACCCTTTATTTGTCTTGTAGTGTTTAATCTGTTACCAAAAAGGTTTGACGAGGAGCCAGAAGTAATGATTCTCTAAATGTAATAATTTGGCAGTTTGCCGTACAGGGTTGAATTGAATCAGGAACTTTCATTTAGATTATGAATCTCTGTTTGGCAAAAAAGGATTTTGAATCTATGTGTTTTTTTCTTTCCTGCTGAATGTTTGTGCAGATTCCGGATAGCAGAACAGGTGATGGGGTTATAGATGCTGTTGTTGTTGATGAAGAGGCTGTTGGAAGTGGAGCCAAAATCCTCTACGGTAAAGGTGCATTGGATCGGTATCTTTCAGAACACACAGATAATCCAGAGGTATGCATTATTTGGGGTGCCAAAAATGTTGGAATTTTTTGAAACCATGTAATTTCTCCTCAAATGATCCCTAACAATTTGCTTCACAATGAACATTCAACGCATGCACAACGGTAATTCCCCCACCCCAGGAGGGGGGAAAACAGCATACTGGTGCATGTAAATGGTGCTATTTGTAAATTAGAACATGGTAATAGTAAAACTTACTTTTCCTTATCCCCCAATGTAATATAGTGTGTGTTTGTTTTGAACTCAACAAACTGTGGCATTAATCATTGAGAATTATGATCGGGTTAGAAGTTAGAACATGGTCATGCGGGAATTGTTGAGTACGGCATGAGATTTTAGATTTATATTGAATTGGTCCTTCCATTATGGTCTTAATGTGCGTATATGCCTTGATAATAAATGCATAAATGCTTCGTTGTTCCTTTATTCTTGCTTCTGCATACGTGTAACAGGCCATGGCAGGTTTAGATGGAGACAATGGAGAGGCAGAACTTCCTTCCGTTATTGCCAGCATGTAACATGCCTTGAAGCTTCTGCTGTATCCCTTGTTGGAGCAATATTAACTTGAAAAGTGGAGGATTTTGACGCTGTGGGTACAGGAATGCCCTTCAACTCAAACTCAAAATCTCATCATGCCTGTCTTTGCTTGCTCTTACGTTCACGTGTTATTATTGTAATGTCATGGAATAGATGATGGCATACAGGCATTACCATAATGATGTAAAGTGTAAGTGTCTATTTTGACAAGTCTCCATGTATAACGAACTTATCATTGTTTTACTATTTATATCTGAAGGCGACATCATTCATCAAGCTTGTCCAAACAATGTATTCTTGAAATTGAAATGTCATCGTGGGTTTTTATTTCCATATATTTCTTCTCTGCAACCTCTAGCACCGCACAGTACACCACCCAACCTGCAGAATAATCCAATTCAGCAATTACCAATTAAGCTCAACAATTTTGAGGATTAGAAGCCCGCATTCAATTTATTTAAAAAAAAAATACTGGAGACAATTTGAAATTGTGACAATTTTCCGATCAAATTGATCAAATTTATAATTTTACAAAATTCACAACACTTGATCTTTCCTACTAGACTATGATGATGGTCCCCCCATTGTTGAAATTGGAATTTGGTATGTCATGGCCACGTGCTCTCTGGAGAAAGTGGTCAAGGACCAATAACCTTCATCATTTATGCGGGAAGTCTCTCCTTTACTTTGCTTGCAGTATCAACTGTCGATCTAAGCATGCTGCGGCAAAAAGAAAACACACCAATCAAAAAGTCACGGCACAGAAAATGGTGTCAGAAAATAGAACTCAAATGCATTACATTTTTTAAATTTGCTGAAATTAAGAAATCATATTAGAATTAAAAAAATGAAGGGAACAATTTAATAAAATAAAGGGGTTGACAATATAGTTTTATCTCTAATTTTATTACCAATCAATTTAGATCGTTGATGAAAAGACATGGAACTTTAGCCATGAACAGACTCCAAAATTTGTGTGGTTAACATCTATAAGAATTTAGTACCAATCTATATATATAACGAAAGAATAACAAGTAAATTTTTACGAATGACAAATGTCATCTTCTTCAAATATTTTAATTTTGTAAATCTATGTAGGGTTTTATTTACAGAATTATTTTTAATAGGTGAATATAATTTATTTTTATTTTTTTTTTATAACTTCCTCATCCATGATTTAATTTTCTAATCATGTGATCACTATTTTGGATGTGATTAGCTATCCAAAGTATTCCATTGTTCGTATCATTCATGCTCTTATTTTTAAATATAAAAAATATAAAACTATCTTACCTCCTAAATTTCTTTTTGTTATCCTATCTTCCCCTTAGTTTATTCATAATTTTAAATTTTAAATTTAAAAATAATAAGTAACTCATTATGTGTAATTTCATTGTCTCCAAAAGTCTTTCCATTGTCCTGACTTCCTAACTTCTCGCCCGTAAATTTTAATTTTAATTTTAAAAACCTTGCAAAATTACTCATAATTTTAAATTTCAATTTTAAAAATGGTGAAAAAATTTCCATACTAAGCAAAATTTGTGTAATTTCCCCACTCCCAAAATTCTCTTCATTTTCCTAACTTCTCAACTTCTTATTTATGTTAAAAATCTTGAGAAAAACACATGCTTCATGCAATTTCTTGGACTAACTATCATGGAGCACTCCTTTGCCATGTAAGGCCTTTTCTCAATATTTTGTAGATGTAGGTTAATTGTTTGTTTTTAAATTAAACTCCTCTTTCTCAGTTTCTTTTGCATTCATATCAAACTAGCCAAAGATCAATGATCGTAATTATGAATAAGAAGAAAATTTTAACATGGAATATCAATACAGCTAGTCCTACTACCAATTCTCTATCACTCCATCTAGTCTTATCATTGTGTTTGGGGTGCTTATTGATAATAGTAATTTGGTAAGATGATAAAAACTAATGCTTTGTTGTCAAAAGTTTTTTTTTGTGACCTATATATACCATCCCTACATTGTGGTCATCTTATTTTAAGTACAAACATGCATGTTTATTCTTATTAACAAACATTGCGAATAATATAATATTTAATTTATCAAGCCTATCTTCATATTCCTTATAGATTTATCAATAAATGGGTGTCCATTGGAGTTAAGATTATGTAGTAGCCAGTGGCTGAGCCACATGTAATTGAGAGGGGCACCTCACTTAGAAAAAATGACATGCTTGGGAGTATAGGTTTTTATATTTTATAATTTACACTTTTACTTATTGTACTTCGCACCATCTTATTTTCATGTTTTAAAATTTAAACATGTTTCAATCTTAATTTTTTAGCCAAGATCTATTTAAATTTTTAATTTAGCATCATAACTATTAGCCCACAATTTCACTATACTTAAATACTAATATTATTTATTAATTATTTAAAAATAAAAAAAATCTAATATGACTAAATAGACTCACTTCTCATCTTGAATTCTACTCAGGGGCTAGTTAGAAAAAAAACCATGATAAATAATAAAAATTTAAAACTCAAAAGTAAATCAAGTGAACGTTTTTCACTAACTTGCTGCACTTATGAATCTATAATTAAAACATGGATAGAGAATAAAGAGAGAAGAAAAAAAAATAATTAATTTGAAAGAGATAAAAATGTCTTTCTTTTATCGAGAATCCTAACTTTATCATTGTCTCTCCTAACTTAGGATCCTGATTTCGCCACTGGTAATAGCAATACTACAACTACACTATGGGTGACAAATCAATTTAGTAGTTGTCCAGAGATCTTGCTATAAAGAAAGAATTTCAAAAATGGTCAAGTAAAATCAGATTATGTATTTATAATATATATATATATATATATATATATATATATTATTCCATCCTACTAAGGAGATTAGATTCTTTTCATGTCTTTTCTGTTAGATTAAATTTTGTCATCATTTTCAAATTTATTTTAAAGACTACTTTAAATTTAATTCATCTTAACAGAATTATAATTGCAAAAATCCACATAAAAATATCATGGGCATCCCAAATTATTTCATTTTAAAGTTAATAGAAAAACTTCATTCTAATAATATCAATTATACTTTTCACTCTTATTTTGTTCTATTATTTGAAACAATTTTATTGTGATTTTTTCTCTCTCTCTCTTTTTTATGAATGTGGCTTACTAGTTTTAACTGCATTGATAACTAATTTTGACCTATGATATATTTTAAAATCAACTAGTGTTTCACCCGTGCAATGCACGGGTCCTCTTATAAGAATTATAATAATTTTTAATTTAACTTGTATTACTAAATGAGTTATTTAAATAAAGTTATAATAAGAAATATATTTTAAAATAATTAAAATATATGATGGTATTGCAATAACAAAAAAATTGCAATATAAATGAATTCAAAATGTGATGAATCAAGATTCAAATTCCTATTGAGAGAAGTGATTATATTTAGTTTTTGACCATACTTAAAATTGGAATTACATCAGTACTCAATCAACACATATACACATGCATTTATTTAAATATACATGTAGAAAACATTTTCTAAATATAATAGATGTGAGTGTACTACAAAAGATATAGGCATGAAATCATAACATACACAAATGAAATACATCTAATATAATATGCAATATATCTAACAGGAATAAATGTTCAACAATTCATTTAAACATGAGGTAATATATATATATATATATATGTATATATAGGAGGGAGGTAAATGAAGGTGTGCTTTTTTTCATCAATGAGTTGTTCAATCATAGATAATAAAATCCATGTAATACCTGAACACAGCTCTAGCCATAAATACCAGCAAAACTTGGTAAAATATTCCTGAAACAAATGATGAAATTTTATGTGGATGTTAAATATAAGGAAGAATATGAATAAAAGAACATAATTGGCAAGTTAATTTTGAATATTTGAAAAGGAACAATTAGCAAATATAAGAAAACGTACTATAAAATAATTATATATAAAGTTTTATGATATATTATTTAACGATGAGTCACTAATAGATGATAGATAAGAGGCAAGGTTTATATCGAGCATGTACCTTATATATGAATCTATGTCAAACCATTAAAGATTTCTTTATAAACAACATTGTTGGTTTTGTTTGTTGGTTTACCCTCTTCATCTAGAATTAAAATCTTCAAGCCACATCTGCTACGAACTCGAGATATAGCAACGTACAACTGACCATGTGTAAATACAGGTCGTGGGAGGTACAATCCAACATTTGTGAGACTCTGTCCTTGGCTTTTATTAATCGTCATTGCAAAGGACAACATAATAGGGAATTGGCGTCTGCATATTGTGAAAGGTAAACTTGTATCTGATGGAGTAATAGTCATTCGAGGAATTAAAACTTTTTGACCTTTTGAGATTCCTGTCATGATCTCAGCTTCAATGACATGTCTGACAAGTTTACTGACAATTAATCGAGTGCCGTTACAAAGACCAATAGATTTGTCGATATTTCGCATAAGCATAATAGGAGCCCCTACTTTAAGCTTGATTTCATGGTTAGGTAGTCCTGACATTGTTAATGAATTCAAGAATTCTGGCGAGTGAATATCTTGTAAAGCACCTCCTATTTCATCTTGTTTAGAAACTGTGTCTGCGCTTAAGTAGCAAACTTCATCACCAGGGAGCATGGATAAAACATATTCATTGACTTCATCAACAATTGCTAATGTTGGAGCTAAGATAGCACGCTCCTGGAAATAACATGCACTATGTATATTCTGTAGCAGTTCTGGATAAGTGGAATCAATAATACACCTAAGAGGATCTTGAGTAGGGTTTAACAATAACTCATCTGGAATTGTAATTTCTTCTGCTTCTTTATGGTTGTTGTCAACTTTTCCATCACCAATTGAGATAATCCAGTTTGCAAATTCTTGAACTCTCATTGCATCTTTAGATGTTGCATTAGTCAATAGTCTCATATTTTTAGTCAATGTAAAAACCTTACAATCTTTCCATAAATATGAAGAAGTGATTGCAGCAAATACAATATCCTCTCTACTACCTTTTCGCACAACTGGAAGAATTTGTCGAAAGTCACCACCAAGCAAAATAACTTTGCCACCAAAGGGCCTTAACGCAGCATCTACTTGTTGAACTTTCATGATATCTCTCAGAGACTTATCAAGAGCCTCAAAACAAAATTTATTGGCCATGGGTGCTTCATCCCATATTATTAGGGAAGTGTTGATAAGCAGTTCACTAAGATGACTACCATGTTTTATATTACAAATTGAATCTTCATTAACTGCAATTGGAATGCGAAATTGAGAATGAGCAGTTTTACCTCCTGGCAATAATAATGAGGCAATACCA